GTATATCTCTGTAGTCTATCCAAATAAAATTATATGGCGAACAGTTAGAATTCAATTTTGTCTTGTAACTGTAATTTGGGTTGTCTGTATCCTGTATAGCCTTCCATTGCTTTTGACTGGACAAATAACTTACAATATTGACAATCAAGTTTGTCAAATGCCTCTTCGTCTATCTCTACCGATGGTCTGTGTAGCAGCAATTATCTATATGATTCCTAATTCTGGTATTCTTGGTGTTTACATTAAACTAACTAGATATGTTCATCAGATGAGTTTTCGTACTATATCAAATAATACTATGTTTCATGCTCGACGAGAATTAAGACTTGTTAAACGTACTTTTATTCTTAGTAACACTCTTATAATCCTTGGTTTGCCGTTTATGATATTTGTTTTAATGTCCTTTTTTACACCACCACCAAAGTACCATTTTCGTATTGCTTTTCTATGTGGTGATATATCTGTATTGGTGGTTATAATAATTGGATATTGTTTTACACCAAACATGAAAACGATTATTCGAAAGATATTATCTCGATCAACTCCAGTTGAACCAATGACAATAAGATTTACAGCTGGAACATAATGTTATGTTTGATTTGTACTCTATCACTCATATATATATTTGAACTGATTATTACAAATAAATCATTTATTTAAGTTTATAGAGAGAAAAATCAATATAAAGTAGAAGATAATGATAGGAGCACTTACAAGGAATGGTCACCAACTTGCTCATTAGTGGGTTTTGTAGAAGAAGGTTTGTTCTACAACACAGTATAGTTTGATTATAAAATAATTTGGATACTACAAACAGATGTTGATAGAAAACTGTATAGCATATTCATATAAAAAAAATGATATTCTGTATTTTTTAAAGAAAATACGCCTTACAATGTTCTATCGATATTGATTCGTAATATTCGACTCCATGTGAAAAACTGACAATTTCATGTAACCCTATAATACGAGGATTTCGAGATATACTAATCGGTTTTTGTACTGAGGCATCAAAAAAAACTGTATTTCAAGCTTGATTAGTACTTCACACATAACATCGTCATTTGTCAATAAAGTTTTAAAAGTTTTTTTACGCGAATAATCCATGAAAAATACTCCAGAAAAGTGTGACCTGAAAGAAAACTTTTCGTTATTTCGGGTGACTTCTCCCGGAACTATCTCTCAGAAACGTCTTGTTTGAAAGTTGCGCTCCTTAGAAAAAACAATGGCAATTATTTGAGATAATAAAATTCGTACATTTTGTAGAGAATTTAACAAGAAATCTTTCTATAAAAAATTGTTTTTTTTCTATGCTGAAAATAGAATAGACATATGCAAAATACTGAGAGACTCATTCATTATGGGCCACCCGTTAACAAGAACTATTTGAATATAGTAAATTGAAAAGATTTTAATTACAACGCAAAAAGTAAATTTTGTTCTTGACGATCTATAAATAGTTATTTGCAACTGACATCATAATTATAATATTGAACTATTTATAACTACAAAGAGAGTAATCCGACATTTTTCTTACTCCAGGAAAAGATTTAATTCCAGTGTCGTTAAATTATATAAAATATTCTTACAGTTTTTCTTTTCTCACTTAGTTTTGTTTTTAGAATTATAACAAAAAGTCTTCAAATAGTTTTGGTAAATTTGTCTATTGTTAATCTATAATTACAAATTATTGTAAGTTCTATGGAAATGATGAGCTCCATGAACGATTCAACATCGATCGAAACAGAAGTATGGTTTCTTCCTTTCGATATTATTAGCATTATATCGACTTCATTATCTATTATATTTGGTCTTTTATATTTATTTATTGTTATAAAACATAAAACATATTCACCAGTACAAATGCTTTTAGTTTGCAATTCATCCGTAGCTATAATTCTTTTAAGCTGTGTATTACTCAATATGGCAATATTCTCAATACAACATGATTTACAACACAGTAGTGAAAAAAGTATTTTGTTCTGTATCATTTTAGGTTTCTTAGGATATGCTACGGATGGTCTGCAGAATTATTCATATTTGCTAACAGCTGCCTATCAGTATATCTCTGTAGTCTATCCAAATAAAATTATATGGCGAACAGTTAAAACTCAATTTTGTCTTGTAATTGTAATTTGGGTTGTCTGTATCTTGTATAGCCTTCCATTGTTATTGACTGGACAGATAGCTTACAATATTGACAATCAAATTTGTCAAATACCTCTTCGTCTATCTCTACCAATGGTCTATGTAACGGTAATTATCTATATGATTCCTAATTCTGGTATTCTTGGTTTTTATATTAAACTGACTCGATATGTTCATCAAATCAGTCTTCGTACTGTATCAAATCATACACTATTTCATGCTCGCCGAGAATTAAGACTTGTTAAACGTACTTTTATTCTTAGTAATACTCTTATTGTCCTTGGCTTACCATATATGATATTTGTTTTAATGTCCTTTTTTACACCACCACCAAAGTATCATTTTCGTATTGCTTATATATGTGCTGATATATCTGTATTAGTAGTTGTAATAATTGGATATTGTTTTACACCAAACATCAAAACGATTATACGAAAGAAATTTACTCGATCAACTCCAGTTGAACCAATGACAATAAGATTCACAGCTGCAACATACGGAAGAACTATTACAGCAAATTAACAGAAAAAACTTTACATAAATTATACTTTGAATATAACAAGAACTATCTAAAAAGAGTAAATTGAAAAGATTTTAATTACAGTGAGATAAGTAAATGTTGTTGTTGACAATCTATAAATAATTATTTACAACTGACATCACAATTATAATATTTAATTAGGTATATCTTCAAAGAGAATAATAAGACATTTTTCCTTTTCAAGAAAAAATTTAATTTTATTGTTGTCAATGATATAAAATATTCTTGTAGTTTTTCTTTATAGAATTATAATAGAAAGTCTCGAAATACTTTTGGTAAATTTATCTATTTTTAATCTACAATTATAAATAATTGTAAATTCTATGGAAATGGTAAACTTCATAAACGATTCAACATTAATTCAGACCGAAGTATGGTTTGTTCCCTTCGATATTATTGGCATCATATCGACTTCATTATCTATTATATTCGGTCTTTTATATTTATTCATTATTATAAAACATAAAACATATTCATCGGTACAATTGCTTTTAGTATGCAATTCATGTATAGCTGTAATTCTTTTCAGCTGTGTTTTACTCAATATGGCAATATTCACACTACAACATGATTTACAGAAGAGCAGTGAAAATAATACTTCATTCTGTATCATCTTAGGTTTTTTATCATTTGTAACAGATGGTCTGCAGAACTATTCATATTTATTAACAGCCGTTTATCAGTATATCTCTGTAGTCTATCCAAATAAAATTATATGGCGAACAGTTAAAACTCAATTTTATCTAATAATTGTAATTTGGATTGTCTGTATTATTGATATGGTCCCAGTGTTCGTGACTGGACAAATAAGTTACAATATTGACAATCAAATTTGTCAAATACCTCTTCGTCTATCTGTATCAGTAATCTATGTTGGAGCAATGATCTATATGATACCTAATTTTGGTATTGTTGCTGTTTATATTAAATTGACTCGATATGTTCATCAGATGAGTTTTCGTACTATATCAAATAATACTATATTTCATGCTCGACGAGAACTAAGATTGCTTAAACGTACTTTTATTCTTAGTAATACTCTTATTGTAATTGGTATACCATATATGATATTTAATTATATGTCCTTTTTTACAAGTCCACCAAAGTATTATTTTCGTATTGCCTACATATGTGTTGATATATCTGTGTTAATGGTTGTAATAATTGGATATTGTTTTACACCAAACATCAAAACTATTATAGGAAAAAAATTTACTCGATCAACTCCAGTTGAACCAATGACAATAAGATATACAGCTAGAACATAATATTATGTTTGATTTGTACTCTAACACTTTTGTATATACTTGAACTGATTATTACAAATAAATCATATATTTAAATGTATCGAGAAAAAATCAATATAAAGTAGACAACGATGATAGTAACTGACTAGAATTTTTCTTTTTCGCTATTGAAAGATTTAATTATTATAAATCCTAGTCAAAGAAACAATACATAAACAGATGATAGATACCATGACAAATTTTTAGATAAATTAAATAGATAATATGAAACTTATTTCATGAAAAAAATCTAGATAAAGACAATGTTTTCATTTTATTAGTTTTCACAATATAAATAGTCAAGAAATCTCATCAGTCTGAGTAGTAGTTTAGCACAAATGTAAAATTGTAAAGACAAATGCAAATCAACTAACTGTCTTCTACATCGATGATAAATCGTAATTCTCTGCTTAACTTTAACACATCTTGAAAGCGGATTACTAAAATAACTTCGTAAATTAAATAATTTTTTCTTGTGAAAAGTGAAAAAGAAAATGCTCATCAGCTTATTTATATATCAAAAGTCATAAAATATTTATGTATAAACAAATGATAAAATTTACAGTAGGAATTCCGAAACGTCTGTCGCTCAAAATTTTTATAAAAAAGTAAAATTCGGAGAACTATTATTGCATCTTAATAGAAAACCTTTGCATAAAATATATTTTGAATATAACAAGAACTATTTGAAAATGCTAAATTAAAAAGGTTTTAATTATAATATTCAATTCGGTATATTTGAAAAGAGAATAATCTGACATTTTTCTTACTTAGGAAAAAATTTAATTCCAATGTCATCAAATCATATAAATTGTTGTTGCATTTCTTCTTTACTCACTTATTTTTGTTCATAGAATTATAAGAGAAAGTCTTCAAAAGTTTTTATTTTTTACAAATAGTTTGGGAATTTCATCTAATTTTAAGCTATAATTACAAATAATTTTAAGTCCTATGGAAATAGTAAACTTCATGAACGATTCAACATTGGTCGAAAGAGAAATATGGTTTCTTCCTTTCGATATTATTGGCATTATATCTACTTCTCTATCTGTTATACTCGGTCTATTATATTTATTTATTGTTATAAAATATAAAACATATTCAACGGTACAAATGCTTCTAGTATGCAATTCATCCGTAGCTATCATTCTTTCAAGTTGTGTTTTACTCAAGATGGCAATATTCACATTACAACATGATTTAAACCAGAGTAGTGAAAAAAATCTTTCATTCTGTGTTATTTTAGGTTTCTTATTATATGCTACGGTTAGTGTTCAGAATTATTCATATTTATTAACAGCTGTGTACCAATATATGTCTGTAGTCTATTCAAATAAAATTATGTGGCGAACAATTAAAATTCAATGGTGTCTTATAATTGTAATTTGGATTGTCTGTATTATAGATATCCTTCCAGTGTTCGTGACTGGACAAATAACTTACAATGTTAACAATCAAAGTTGTCAAGTACCACTTCGTCTGTCTCTACCACTAATCTATGTGGCAGCAATTATCTATATGATTCCTAATTCCGGTATTGTTGTTGTTTATATTAAATTAACCCAATATGTTCAACAAATGAGTTCTCGTACTATATCAAATAATACTATATTTCATGCTCGACGAGAACTAAGACTGCTTAAACGTACTTTTATTCTTAGTAGTACTCTTATTGTCCTTGGTTTACCATATATGATATTTAATTTGATATCCTTTTTTACAACTCCGCCAAAGTATGATCTTCGTATTGCTTATATATGTATTGATATATCCGTATTAGTGGTTGTAATAATTGGATACTGTTTTACACCAAACATTGGAACAATTATTCGAAAAATATTATCTCGATCAGCTCCAGTCGAACCAATGACAATAAGATATACAGCTGGAACATAATATTACATTTGATTTGTACTCTATCACTCATATATATATCTGAACTGATTATTAAAAATAAATCAATATATAGTAGAAGACGATGACAGTAACTGACTAGAATCTTTCTTTTGCTTTATTGAAAGATTTGATTATTATAACTCAAATTCAACGAAACAAGACATGAACAGATAATAGATACCATGACAAATTTTTAGATAAATTAAATAGATAATACGAGACTTATCTCATGGAAAAAAATTCGATAGAGACAATGTTTTTATTTTATCAATCTTCACAATATAAATACTTTTGTAATCATATCATTTATAATCTATATTTTCAGAAAGAAAAGAGAAAAATGCATTACTTGATTCATTAATTGTGACGCTTATTAAAGATAATTATATATTCAAGTTCATTCATTAGCTATTAATAAAGTATATGCTTATTTATACAATATTGAATTGTTCATCAAACTATACTACATAATTAGGGTTGATATTAGAATATATGGAAATATCCTTGTAAATGACATTGTCATTAATGTTTTTTTTTTGTTCTAGTCACGTCTTATTATATACTTAATCTAAAATTAATTTCATTGACGATTGTTAACTGCTAAACATCAATATTATTGTCTGTGTTATATTTGAAGCACACAAATCTTCCTAAGAATTTATTGCTAACAGAAGAAGATGAGAATTTTTAAAAAAAAAGGTAAGATGAAGAAAATTTTTCTTCATAATAAGACAAACACAAGTTAATATTAGTAAATAATATCGAACAGAAAAGAACAAAATGAGATCATATTTGTTTTTTTGTATATGTAAATATATATATATATATATGTATATATGTTTTCTCAAGTCAAATAATTGAATTATGTAAAAAATAGAATAGAAGCAATGTCTTGAAATATTTTCTTTTATATATATATACAATAAAGATTATTCAATAATTCCTTGTTTAACACGTTCAAGTCGTTGACGTAGTAATTCGCGAGTACGTTGTGTTGTTGAATCACCTGGAGCTGATAATGAAGGAGATGGTTCTATTGATGATTCAGTTGTTTTATTTGATCGTAAACCTGCTAATCGAGCATTTACTCCAGTTGTAGTTCCGCCGTTTCCACCACCATTATTTAAACGAGATTCAACCTAAATTAGAAGTTTAAATAGAAACATTTTTTCGTTTTCAATATTATATATACTTCAACATCGAATGCATCCTAAAATATATCAAATATGTATTAATAATAGTAATGAAAAATATTATTTTTACTTGTCCAGTTGCTATTGGTGTTGCAACAAGACCACATTGTTGTCGCATTTGAGTAAGATGTTGTGAATAAACTTGTGGATCAATTGGTGTTGATGATGATGCAAATGTATTTCCAAGTTGATCACGAAATTTGTCTTTTATAGCTGTCATACGTTTATTATAAATTGCAACAAAATCATCATCAGATACTGGTTTTTGTTGTTCAATATTTGCTGATGTTGGTAATGTATCAATCCAAACAAATTGTTCTTTTAATGCACGTAATTTTTCTTCATGAATTTGTGCATATCTTAATAAGAAAATTTTGTAAAAAGAAACAAAAAGATATATAAATAATCATACTGTGAATAGAATGAAGTTGGTGGTGTTTGTGATGGAACTGATGTTATTGTCTGTGTTTTATCACGAAGAATAGTTGATGATGGTGATGATAAATTTGTAGGTGTTGCACCAGCTGCTGCTGCCGTACGTTGATTATGCACACGTGCTAAACCTTCATGAATAAATTTTTGAAAAGCATCAGCTGTTGTTGCCAAAAATGGATTTATATCAACATTAGGAAAACGTAATTTAAAATCATATAATTCTTCTAAACCAATTTTAACTTGTTCACGACGAGCAAATTTTTGAAAAATTGCTTTTAACATAACTTGATGTTGTTGAGTGACTTGTTCATTATTTGTTGTTGATGTTGATGCTGTTATTGCTTTTAATTTACGATGTATATAATGACGCATTTCATCCGATATTGGTTGATGTTCATTTGATATACGTGATAAATCATCAAGAATTAAACGTTGACGTTCATCAACTAATTGTTGAAGATATGTTTTTATTATACGTAATGGAAAATCATTTGTAGGTGATGCTTGCCAACGACGTGATGGTAATTGTTTAAGAAAAGAAGAGATTTCAATTAAAATCTGTGTTGCATCAATTTCCGCTGGATTATTTTTCAATGATAATGGAAACATTCGAACCAAACGATAATGACACTAGAAGAAAAATTAACAAGTTTTTATATCAATAGATCTTTTTCTCTTGGTTCAATTACCTTCAATACAAGTTTAACGAATGGATCATTTATTGAAAAATCATTTTGTAAACAACATTCTGTTAATAAACGAATTAATGCTGTTAAAACATTTGTCATATGTGCATGTTGTAAAATTTTTAATACAATAACATTAACAATACGAATAAAATCTTCATTGGATGAAGCATCAATTCTTGATGTATTATGGTGATTATTATTATTATTATTATTATTTGTTGTTTGTGTTGGTGTTATTGTTACAACAACAAATGGTAAGAGAACATTAAGTAATTCTTTTAATGTATCACGTGTAGCGATTTTAGCAAGATGTGAACGTGAAAAGAGATCAAGTAAAACAGATAATATTCCACGAAATAAACGTTCAACACTATCAGTTGATAATGATGAATCATAGAGATGATTTTGTTGTGCAATACGTAATTTCATTGAAAGCATACGAAGAAGTTTATCAACATGTTGTTCAAGATATACACATTTATTAGCATCATTAAGAACTTCATCGATTTGTGCTAATGATGATAAACTATTGGCAACTTCATGATCAGCTATAAGTGCAATAACAAGATCAATTGATTGACGACAATCAGATGATGAAGCTAGATATGAAACTGGAATTGATGTTGTTGGTACTCTAAATTAAACGAAAGACAAAGATGTATTTTAGTAAGATGATTAGAATAAAAATAACATACGTTCTTGGTGGTAAATCTGGAAGATCATAATCATTTGGTAATTCACTGGAGAGTAAATCAGGTAAACGTAAAGCATCCATTTGATCATCATTAAGTGCCAGTTGAAATTGACCTAATTTCTTTTCAATTTTTCCTTGAATACGATGTCCAGTATTAGGACGTTGTTGATCGTCATCTTCCATTGTTGATGCAAATTCTGGTTCTGTTTCTATATGTTGTTTTGGTGGTGATGGAGCAGTTGCTGGTCGACCTTTACCAGGAACTGGCCGACCACCTTTGACTGTTGTTGTTGATGCAGCATTGCCTGGAGGTGTTTTACCAGATGGAGGTACATTTGCCTAAGAAAAAATAAAATAAATGTAAAAATATCTTTTAAATACAAAAACAAAATCGTATTTACTTTTCCTTTAGTATCTTTTTTCTTGTCATCGACTGTTTCAGCCGCAGCAGCAGCACCTGCTTTTGTACCTGCAGCAGGTTTCTTTTTTATAGTAGCTGTACTTCCTTTTGGCGGTGGTGATGAAGCAGGTCCTTCTTCATCATCATCATCTTTATCTGGTATTATAACTTCAGGTTTGGTTATAACAGCACCACCACCTTTCACTGTTTTGACTATTGTAGTTACTGGTGGTGGTGGTGGTGGTGGAGCTGTAGGTGGAGGACGAGGCTCACCACGTGCATTTAATAGAATTGCTTTTTCAGCATATTCTTTGATCTAAATTAATACATATTCAAAAAATGTTATTTTATAATTAAAAATAAATTCTTACTTTTGTCGATTTAAGTTCATCTAAATCAGTAACATGTGGAAGTATATGTTTTTCACCAAGACATTTCCATAACATCCCAAGACTCTCAAATGCACTATCACGAACACTTGGATCTGCATCTCCTGTATTCTATTCATTCAAAAATATTATATTATTTATCTGTTTTAATTCAAATAAAATAGAATCTACTTTAATTAATGGTGGTAGATAAAGTTTGAGAACTTTCTTCGGTAATGTTGTTTGTGTAGCCATAGCAAAACATTTTGTAAGAAATTGTTCAGTACATTGTCGAACAATAGGTGTTTTATGTGATAATGCTGCAACTGCTATTTCTGCCATTTGTTCAAGATTTGTCTAAAAATTTAATATTTAATTTTTAAATACAAAAATTAATTTATTTTATTAATAGAACAGGAACAATACTTACTCCAGGGTATGAAGCTTCACATGTTTCACGTAACGCTTCAATTACATTTGGTTTCTTTTCTCGAAATCGATCAAGACATACTTCAAGTACCTAAAATGAAAATAATCAATTCTTTTATTTCAATTTGATCGATATTTACATTAACAGCATGATTTTTAAATGCTTTTCGTAAACCTTTAGCCAATGCTGTCATACATTTTGTTGTAACAAGAACAACAGGTACATTACTATCCTTTGAAATAATCTAAAGACAAATACAATAGATAAAATAAATAATGCGTTTTATTATTCAAACCTTGGAAAGTGCTTTAACAAGTTCGAAATAATCAGCGTCTGGTGCTAATTTTGGATTTTGTGTTAATATTGTTAATAAATCATCTAAAACTTCTTTTCGTTCTTTCCATTGTTTTGATTCCTATGTAGGAAATAGAATAGATTGATTTCGGAAATAAGTTATAGATTGAAACTTACAATTTTCTCGAAAAATTCTTTTGGTAAACGATCAATAATATTTGTTGCTTCTAACATTTCAAGTGGATCAAGTTCTTCTTGTGCTATATACATAAATAAAGATTTAATAAAATGTAAATCAAATTTTTGTATTAAAATTCAAACCTTCAGCTTCAGCTTCATCAACACCTGCTGATGCAGCCGCACCACCACCACCACCACTTGCAGCTACGTTTTCTTGTTTTTGTTTAACACTTAGCTGTGAACGAAGAAAACGTGTTTGTCGTGGTTTATCAGCACCATTCAAATCTAATTTGTCAAATTCAGTTTGTAATTCTTGTAACTAAATTAATTAGATATATTTTTACTCTTGATTAAAAAGCTTTCTATCTCAGATATACCTGAATAGGTTTAACATTTTGTATCATTGGCATGAGAGTTTGTTTACCAATCCATTTGTATACTTCAACAAGTAATAATTTAGCTTCATCACGTACAGTTTTATCACGATCTTCAAGAAGTGGAACAACTTTTGGAAGAAATGGTTTAATTGGAAGAACTTTTGAACCAAATTCTGATAAGCCTTTTCGAAGTAGTTCAAGAGAAGCTTGAACCACTTTTGGTTGTTTATTTTCTAAACCTTTAACAAGTTCGTCTTCTATTTCAGCATTTTTGTCAATTTCAATATACATAAGAAGAATATCAAAGCTTCGTTCTTTAATTTTTGGTCTTCCACTAAGACATTTACTCATTAATGTTGGAACAATTTCACCAACAGTACTATAAAGAAAAACGAGACTTTATCAAATTAAAGTTAATCTATTGAATTTTACAATCGTGCAACATGTGCTTCTTGAATAAAAACAAGTAGAGCTTCTAAACCTTTTTCTTTTGCATTTTCATTAGCATCCTGAGCAAATCTTGGTAAAAGATCTAAATAATCTTCAAATTCTCCACTTTTGCTTGAATCTTGTGTAGCAAATAGTTTTCCACATTCTTCGTAACCAGCTAAACGTGCATTCCATAACTTTAAATAATAAACAAAAAAGAATGAATATATTTTTATGTTAAATTCTTTTATTTCTTACCTTGTGTTGTACTTTTTCGTCGGGTGGTAATTTTTGCCATTCAGGATCATCAATAGGTTTCTCGCTGCGTACCTAAGAAAAGAAAAAGAATTTTCGTTCATTTGATTTTATCAAAATGAATATCTGATAAATATATATTACGTCATTTCTGATATTAAGGTAATAATGAAAGATCAAAAGAAAAAAAAATTCGATCATAATAATATAATAAATAAAGTAAAAGTAGAAGAGAGAGAGAGATAGGAAGAAAAAAAATTTAACAAGTGATTATCAGTCGTTGCATTATATGAGAAAGTTTAATAAAAGAAGAAAAAAATACAATTGTAAAGGCACGATTAAAAGAGAGAGAGAGAGAGAAAATAAATTGTATCACATGATTTCAATAGAAAATTCTTATGCTGATGATTTTTTAATCATAATACGCGGTATTGCTCGCATAGGAATACGACTTTTAGTATTGAGATTCGAATTAATTGATGATGAAATAATATCATTGGATGATGTTCGAAGTATTGCAGTAGTAGAATTTGTTAGTGTTATTGTTGAAGGTGGTGTATCTGAACGTAGTGGTCCTTGAATATTTGGAGTAGTTAATGATGATGTTGAACCATTAGTTAATAATGATTGACGTTGTAAATTTAATGATGGTGAACATGGTGTAGTAAGTGACGAACGTCGAACAGTTGATGATATTGGTTTCGATCGAACTTTTGTTTCTATTGCTTGAGTTGAATGAAAAGCAACTGGACGTTGAGGATTTGATTGAACATTTGTTGTTTTCATTGATAATACTGGTGCTGTAATTGGTCGAACTTTTGCTGAATTAAGTTTACCATTTAATGTTGACGATGATATATTTGTAACAGATTGTTTGACACGAGAAGAAGTAATATGAGATACTACACCAATGATCGGTGTAGAAGCCTGCAATAATACACAAACATATACACAGATGTATACTACTGTTTTTATTGCTAAGATACAAATAGGAAAAATGATACTGAAAGACATATGTGTATATGTTTGTATATCTCATTTGAAAAACAAAATAACATAACGAAAAACACGCATACGATAAAGTAAACGAGAGAAGATTTTCGAAAAATAAAAAAAACAAACAAACAAATGATTACCTTTTGTGGACGTGGTTCTCGTCTTTTTTCTTCGACAGGTTCACTTGTTGTTGCTGCTGGTTTAGCAGTTGTTGCTGTTTTTTTCTTTGCTGCAGCAGCTGGTTTCGCTGCTGGTGCTGGAGTTGCTGATTCTTCATCTTTATCAGCAATACTATCTGATTTAGCTACAGTAGAACCGCCTGGTTTTTTTGTCATTGTTGCTGAATTTACTGATGATGCAGCTGATTTTGGTACAACAGCTGTACTTGCAGTTGTTACAGCAGCTGTTGAACGTGGTTCTCCTCGAAGATTTAATAGAACTGCTTTTTCAGCATATTCTTTGATCTAAATAAAAATAATTTCAATAAATAGATTCATTTACAACAAAAAATTCTATTTACTTTATTTAATTTTAATTCATCCAGATCTGTAATATTTGGAAGTATATGTTTTTCACCAAGACATTTCCATAACATTCCAAGACTTTCAAATGCACTATCACGAACACTTGGGTCTGCATCTCCTGTATTCTATTCATTCAAAAATATTATATTATTTATCTGTTTTAATTTCAAATAAAAATGTAATCTACTTTAATTAATGGCGGAAGATAAAGTTTGAGAACTTTCTTCGGTAATGTTGTTTGTGTAGCCATAGCAAAACATTTTGTAAGAAATTGTTCAGTGCATTGTCGAACAATAGGTGTCTTATGCGCCAGTACAGCTACAGCTACTTCAGAAAGTGGATCAAGATTTGTCTATATAGAATAAAATTCGTCATTTTTTTTTCATGTAAATATTTTATTGGAAATATCTACCGATGGATATACTGCATCACATGTTTCACGTAATGCTTCAATTACATTTGTTTTCTTTTCTCGAAATCGATCAAGACATACTTCAAGGACCTAAATGATAAAATTTAATTATTTTTGATTTCTATATACACATTAAGATAATACTTACACCAACAGCATGACTTTTAAATGCTTTTCGTAAACCTTTAGCTAATGCTGTTAAACATTTAGCAGCAACAAGAGCAACAGGTACATTACTATCTTTTGAAATGATCTAGAAATATAATTTGATTGTTATCTACATTTCTTTTTCTCTTTTCTGTTCATTTACCTTTTTTAATGCTTTAATAAGTTCAAAATAATCAGCATCAGGTACTAATTTGGGATTTTGAGTTAATATTGTTATTAAATCATCTAAAACTTCTTTTCGTTCTTTCCATTGTTTTGATTCCTATAATAAATCGATTATAGTATTCAGAATTAATAGAATCATAATTTTACAATTTTATCGAAGAAATCTTTTGGTAATCGATCAAGAATATTGACAGGTTCCATCATTTCAAATGGATCTAAATCTTCTTGCACTAAAATTTTGATATAATTTTATATTAATCATTCATTAAGTTTCTAAATATTACTTTCAACATTAACATCTTCAATAGCTACGGATGCACCAACTGTTGTAGATGCTTGTGTTTGTTCCATTTTTTGTTTAAGATCTTGTTGTGAACGAAGAAAACGCGTTTGTCGTGGTTTATCAGCACCATTCAAATCTAATTTGTCAAATTCAGTTTGTAATTCTTGTAACTAAATGAATTAGATATATTTTTAGTCCTTATTAAAAATCTTTTGATCTCAAATATACTTGAATAGGTTTAACATTTTGTATTAATGGTAGAAGAGTTTGTTTACCAATCCATTTATAAACTTCAACAAGTAATAATTTAGCTTCATCACGAACACTTTTATCACGATCATCAAGTAATGGTACGACTTGTTTAATAAATGGTTTAATTGGAAGAACTTTTGAACCAAATTCTCTAGAGAGAGAAGAAAAACATTGATCTCTGGATATGAAGTATAAAAAGAAAAAACATACGATAAGCCTTTTCGAAGAAGTTCAACACAAGCTTGAACAATTTTTGGTTGTTTATTTTCTAAGCCTTTGACAAGTTCGTCTTCAATATCAGCTTGTTTTTCAATTTCAACATACATAAGTAGAACATCGAATGCTCGTTCTTTCATTTTAGCACGTCCATTTAAACATTTACTAATTAATCCTGGTGCTACTTCACCTACAGTTCTACAGAAAAAAAGAACAGATATCATATAAAATACTTATCTAAACAAATTCAACTAAGTAACTCACTTTCCAGCTACCTGTGCTTCTTCAACAAAAGCAAACACAGCATCAAGTGCTTTCTCTCGAGCATTCTCATTTGTATCAATAACAAATTTTTTTATAAGTCCAAGATATTTACTAAACTCAGGACTTTTATCAGAATCTTGTGTACGAAATAATTTTACACATTCTTCATATCCAGTCATACGAGCTTTCCATGCCTAAATTACGAGTAAAATAAACAATGTTAAGTGGACACTATTCGAATATTTCAAGTACTTTATGTTGCACTTTTTCATCGCATGGCAATTTTTGCCATTCGTTGTCATCACCACCACCACTAGTTGCCATCTAAAAATGAATTAAATCCTTGAAATAAGATATGACAGAAAAAAATGTGACCTATCAATAGTCGGTTGAATGAACAATCATAGATATAGAAATATTATAGGTGGGCGAGATGATGTCATAAGATATGTCGATTTCTCACGACATATAAAGGACAGAAAAAAAGAAAAACAAAACGAGAAAAAGAATAAGGAGAGACGAACGAAAGAATAAAATGAAGAAAGAAACGAAGCGACGGTTCAATCAATAGGTCGTTTGTATGTGTATTGAATTGAATCATTTTTGGAGACGAACACTCACCTTTATACAACCAATCTAATTCAATGTCATCAATTAATACGAAAATCTTCTGGATCGAAAATATAAAATTTCTTAAATAGATAAAAATTCGATTCAATCTTAAAAACAGTAAGAAATTTCAAAATTTTTCATAACTAATTCGATTTTAGATGATAGATGTCACTAATTATCGATCTGAAATATTATGTTGCGATTTTCCGAAATAAACGGAAATATTCATTCATGCTAGATTTATGTTATCTTTGCAAAAAATAGGTATTCAAAGTTGGTATGTCAGGTTTTTCTATAGTAATTTGTAGATAGAGGTATTTTTAAATGAGAGCGACGTCAGGTTTCTCTTATCTATGCATCAAAAACAGAAGTCAATTGTCGTCCCACGATTGACTGGAAAGTTGACATAAGCTGATAATGACTTAACTATATCTCGTAGATTTGTCTTCTAAGTATTTTAGTTTTTTTTATGAAAAGAGGAATCGAATAATATAAATATATACAATAAACATACATACGATTGAAAGGATCTATTTTTCAATTAAATGAAAGACTAACATAGAAAAGTCTTTGCTAAATAGAACCTCGATAATAATTTAACAACTCTTGTTTTTTATGGTTAATATATTGTTTACATTTATTCTATGAAAGCTTCATTTATAATCTCGATATTTATTAATATATGATTACATTTCACAGAATGTTGCATTGTACGAGACATAGAACTATTTATTGCATTATAATAGAAGACTTGCAAAGCTTTTATTTTTGTATAGAACATATGTTGCTATTTATTTCTTCGTTTTTCTGAGTGATATATTACTTTGCTTCACATTATTATTTCTTTTTCTTGTATCTTGCAAATTCTTATTGATTGATACTTTACTGAAATGATATACTTGAATGTTGCAATAGTTTCAAAAATATAAATATATAGATATATATATATAACGCTTATTTATTTTTTCATCATTTATTTTTATAGCTGATAAAAGTAATGAAGGATGAACATCTTTATTGATTTATGGTTTGTATTGTTTGACTGTAAAGTGAATTCTACCACATCCATAAAGTTCAGCATTTGCAGCAGCGCTTTCAGTAGCCTTAACTGTTATATCGAAATTACCGGAAGCCATGAAAGTTGCTGCTGATTGTGAAGCATCTGGAAGATCAAGTGGATGATCTCTGAAAAGAAGTCTTTGAATTGGAATATTGAATGGACATACGCAATTAATGCCATGTTGAATTAGAGTTGGATGACAAGTGTCAGGATGAAAGTCAGTTACCATATCCTTAATAAATGCGCAGATATCAGGATATGTACATGAACCAACATTTTGTCCATTAACGATATAACATCTTACTGGAAGTGCAATTCCACTAACAGTACGTATTATGTTAAGGTTGATGTATAAAATAGCTATAAAACAATTCGAAGAAAGAATATGATTAAGAGATTCTATATAAAAAATAAAATAGAATCGAAAACTTACTAACAGGTTTCTTCAACTGTGCAACAAATGTCATGGAAGCAGGACCGGGATTAATTATAGGCATTGGTTTTACATCGACTTCTTCAATAGTGATATGTTTACTACCACAATCTGTGAATTGAAGTTTAGTAAAGTCTTGACCATGTACCTTGAATATAAGAACAACAGCAATTAAAGCCAATGGTACCATCAGAAAACGCATTTTTATATTTTGTTGCGATTTAATTGAAGCAAAAATAATATGGTGCTTATTCAATTTTCAAAATATATAAAGGTGTAAGTACACTGTAATTTGTGAGAAGATGAGCATCTGTTATTTACAAGTATAAAAATAAATTATTAATACAAGACCCAATGTGTCTTATTTCACACACCTCTCTTATCAGTTGTATTCGGACTTTCCGATAACTAAAATCAACTACGACATACAAAAACAAAATTTATTCACTTAACATTTGCATATTTGATAAAATAACTTTGATAATTTCATTGATTCTATCAAATGATCACATTCTTTTATTGCGTAAAAAAAAGTATATTATAATTTGTGAAAACATTTAGTTCTTTGTTTTTGTATGGATTATCTTTCCTATATGACTTTAATCATCGTATTTTTAATGCATTAATACATGAATCAAAATTGAGAATATTTTGCTTTGGTATTTCTTTTTGATAGAGATAACGATGCAACATTCCTTCGTTATATCAGTAGCACATATGAGACATAAATATGTTAATTATTTATACATCTTGTTGTATACAATTTTAAAAGATTAATACAATATTTCATTATAAAAATAAATAATTATACAATGAACAAAGTTTTAAATAAAAGTATTACATAACGATGATTCTTTTTATTTTATTCATATTTGTGATAAGAATGTTTGTTCAATAAGTTCGGAGGTAACAAGATAAAAGTTGGTAAAGAAACAAAATGCTTTTTTTTACCTATCTCATAATAGCCTACCTTTTTCTTACAGGTTACTCTAATACATGAAATTATAAGTACGAAATTTAAATATAAACTAAGAATCACAAAAAGGGTAATCGTTTTTTTGTTACAAATTGATTTCATAACGATGTACTTTTAACACAAGTACAATGTTCCTACTTATTGTATATAAAACGTTATTTATCGAATTGGACAAAGAATTTGTCAAATCGTACAATATTCTATATATTCAAAATGAATCATTCAAATATATAAACAGAATAATTTCTTTGTTTGAGTGTATTTTACTCGATATCAATTGATTGTGTTAAATTATAAAATATAATATAACTGAAAATTAACAAGTCCAAAATATACCATAGATATATTTCTAGTACTTATTATGGCATATTTCTAATCGAATAGATAAGAAACAACTACCCTATGTATGTCTTATCTTGTTTGCCTCTATTTTTTTTTACGTGTTACTTTATGTGTTTTAATTCGTTTCTTTTATATTCTCTTGACTGTCGAAATGTATATGCTGTGCATTCATCTTCAATATAATTACAATTGTTAGTTCGCAATAGACACACAAGGTTGTATCATGATGACTGTGCAGTTTCTTCAATTTGTGCATTGAATAGGACCAAATAAATATTTACTCGTTTATCAATGAGATTTAAAAAGAAATGCAATGATTTGATCGAAACGCTTTTAGTACGATTAATTCTCTCGGCAAGAACTGTGAGTTAGTACTAATTCGGTAAGAATGTTTTTGAAGATTTTCATTCAAATAAATAAATAAATAGAATTTATCAAATGGTGTCTATATTTACAATGACAGTATTACAATCAATATTAAGAATTAATGAAAATGATAAGATTTTTTTTTATTTTAACATTGATTTCAGATGCTTAATTTACAACGTTTGTTATTATCTTCTAGATTGTTTCTATTAACAACAAGACGAATGGAAGGATATCTTTCTAGTGGCCCTCAAAAAGCCGATAAAGATGCAGAAAATCAAAAAAATAAACAAGAACATCCACGAACACGTATTGAAACTGATGCTATTCATGTTGGACAAGAACCTGAACGATGGCCAGGTCAAGCTGTTGTTCCACCAATATCAATGGCAACAACATTTAAACAATTAGAACCAGGCAAACCTGTCCTTTATGAATATAGTCGATGTGGTAATCCAACTCGACAATGTTTAGAAGAATGTTTAGCATCAGTTGAAAAAGCTAGATATGCATTAACATTTGCATCCGGTCTTGGTGCAACAACAACATTAATGTTTATGCTTAAATCAGGTGATCATATTCTATCAATTGATGATGTTTATGGTGGTACTGGACGATTATTTAGGTTTGTTTATTATTCAACTAAAATGAAATTCTTTATAAATTATTTCTAGACGTTGTATGGCACAAATGGGTGTTGAAAGTTCATTTATTGATATGTCAACAGATGCATCTACAGTTGTTAAACATCTTAAACCAACAACACGTCTTGTTTGGATTGAAACACCAACAAATCCATTATTAAAATTAGCTGATATCGAACAAATAGCAACTGCTGTTCATAAACATGATCCAAAAATAATGGTTCTTGTTGATAATACATTTGCAACAGCCTATTTTCAAAATCCTCTTAAACTTGGTGCTGATCTTGTTTTACATTCACTAACTAAATATATGAATGGTCATTCTGATGTTGTTATGGGTTGTTTAATGATGAATAATGAAGAATATTACAAACAACTAAGTTTTCTACAATATGCTATGTAAGAATAGTTTTAAATTGTTCTCACTCATCGATATTTTTTTGTAGTGGTGCTGTACCATCTCCATTCGATTGTTATCTTGTTAATCGTGGTATTAAAACATTAGCTGTACGAATGAAACAACATATGGCAAATGGTTTACGTGTTGCTACTTATCTTGAACAACATAAACATGTTGAACGTGTTATTTATCCACCATTAGAAAGTCATCCACAACATGATTTATATAAGAAACAAATGTCTGGTTTCAGTGGAATGATTTCTATTTATCTTAAAGGTGATGAAGTCGAAAAAAGTAAACGATTTTTAGGACATCTTAAAGTGAGTTAATTTGTATATATAGAAAAAAAAGTAAAATTAAATGAATAATTTATCTTTGTAGTTATTTACAACAGCTGAATCACTTGGTGGTTATGAATCTTTAATTGAACTTCCAGCTGTTATGACACATGCAAGTGTGCCTGAAGAACATCGTCGTCAACTTGGTATTACCGATGGTCTTATTCGTTTATCTGTAGGATTAGAAGATGTACAAGATTTAATTGATGATATTGAAGCTGCTCTTGATTTTGCATTTTCAAGCACCGATGCTAAATGAAACAACAAGTTTCATTTTGCCTTTTAAGAACAGTTCTTTTTTTATGTTTTGAATTTTCAATCTCGGTACATACATCTTCATAATAAAGATAATACTTACTAACGAGAATAAATCATATATTTATGAAAAAAAATTTTTCTATGATATTTTATTATTCTTCAACAAATATCATAATGATGCAAGTTTAATAAACGTTATTTATTTAATTATATGATGATAAAAATAGACCATATGAATAAAAACAATTAAAAATAGAATGAATTTTATGTAATATAATGAAATCATCTTGAGTGTTAAATAAAATTCGTGCCATCTTTAATTATTTTTTATCTTTATTGATTCAATCAAATCTTATGCTTCATTAACAAGTATATTCATTGTGTTCTTCTCTTCACTATGTCAATGGAAACTACAATTTTGTTATTAAATTTCGAGTACTCCTATACCCCAATAAAGTATCATGTTACCAGTATATAATCTGCGTGGTAAAGTACTTTGTTTTAGTACATGGATCCATATTCTCTCAAAGTCGAAATATTTAGTCATAAAAAGAGTTTGGAACTTATAAAATTATCTTAATAAGGAGGTACCTGGAAGAATCCAAACTGTTAAGAATAGATTAGTAACAGTAGCATGAAACGTTGTTATCTTATGTCATAATAGAAAAGGTTTATCAAAATCTTTATATAATGATATATCATGAAAAAAGGATATTAGCATTTACTATCACTAGATTTCTTCAAGCGTTTTGTACAGAAATAAAACATCTTTCATATTACTTATGGATGGTCCTACATATTATTAAACAATTAATCTAAATTATTTTCTGTTGTCAACTAAAATTCTTCTTGTAAATATCCTATTATCTACTCATTTATTTCTATTTAATAGTATAACTTCAACTAACAAATTTTCAACTATTTTCTGTCATAATAAGAATTGAAAATATATCATAATCTTATTTTACTTTACTGAATTATTATGTATATTGATCGCTAAATCTATATAATCATATTCTCATTTTGTTATGATAAATCTTTTTACTTTGCATTTCGTTTCATTTTTTCTAATTAATATTAAACATTCTCTTTCTATATATAAGTTCAACTTGACTATAAAAAATTCAAATAATTAAATATCTAGAAAAAGACTCTCATTTGTATGTCTTCAACAGATACAAATAAATATGATGAGAGGACATTTTGACAGATTCAACTCATCAAAAAAAGAAAATAATTATATTTTTTTTCTTATTATTTATTATATATAGAAAAAAATTGTTTCTCTAAACTCAGACTATGTATTTAACATATAAACAAGTACTAGTTAGTGATTCGAAAGCATTTCGTTGTCGTCTACTATCTGTTAATTATATAGTATTAATATCAAAATGAATACTCAGTCTATGATTAATTCATGAATGAGTTCGAAACCTAAATTGACAAAGCCTAAGAGGAAGTTCTATATGAAGAGAAAAAAAAAGGTCGAGCACATATGATTAAGAGAAGTAGATTTATTTCCGCTCAAATAACACCTCAACTACAACTCAAGTTGATCCATTATTCTTTTTTTTCCTTTTCTGTCTATGTTCTCAATATTCACACTTTTTTTACTTCGGAAAAAACAATAATCTTATCCACGAAGAGACTATGTTGAGAGAGAGACAGGGAAGAAATCCTAGGAAGACGACAAAGAATGAATAAGTGAAAGTTGTCAGCATTTTTTTTTTCTTTTTTTTCTCTCTCATTTGTCTTTTGTTTCCTCATCAAACATAACATACTCTTGTCATAATGATAACATCTTTACTAGACTAGTTTTATGGTAGTAAAGTGGTCAATCATTATCATACAATTCGATATAGTAATTCCAAAGGGAATTATTATTTCAACTGATACTCTAGATATATTATTAATTCTTTTCTCTCTCTCTGTTTTTTTTTATTCTTCTAACTATATTGAGTTCTTTTCATTAAAAATTGATGGAAAGAAATTTACTGATTATAAACAGATACAATTGCGTGTATATTGTTTGATTCTTATGGTAGATTGAATGTTGCTTTCTTTTCTTTTGTAGAACTTTCGAGCTGCTTTCTTTTATCTTAAAAGAAGGCCGCGAAAGATTGTTTTTTCCTTCTTCAAAAACAATAGAAGTAAATATCTCATGTTTACCTATACTTAATAAAATTGGATAATGAACAATGTGACAAGAGAGATATCTCTGGCGAACAATTTTTTTCGTCAAAATTTATTAGGTGAATCATTACGACATAGTTTTATTCGTTTAACAGTTATATTATCCGCTATAATTATTGTTTGGGGTGGAATAATACTTGCGTTAATTATTCATATGAAATGTCAACGAGCAAGACAAATGATCAAAACATCAAATACACAACATTCATATGATAATGATACAAATTCAAATAAGAAACGATCTAATAATCCGAAACGTAATCGTCGTTTTGATTCATCATCATCATCCGTATCATTAACACGTTATTCGATTCGTCATTTTTTATCACGACTTAAACGACATGTTATTTTTTGGCCATCATCATCAACATCAACAATAACAGCAGCATTAGCAGCAGCAACAACAGAAAAGAATAATTCGATTCGAGAATCATTGTTATTAAAAAAAGAACATCAAATGATACCAACAAATTCGAATACAATACAAATTTTAGTTGAAAATATGACTAGACGACCATTAAATTCTAATCGTTATGTACCAAATATTGTTGCAAGTAAACTTTTATTTCATCATGAAACTGATAGTTCAAGTGGTGATGAATTAAAAAATTTCTTTCCATTTGAAGAAGATCAACCATCACGAAAAATATCCAATGTTATTCAATTTGTATGTTTAAAATAATGATAAACAATTTATCAGAATTATTTTCTTTTAGATAGAACCACAAAATTATATTAATCATCCTTCTATATCAATTTCAAACAGTGACAATAATGATCCTGAAACAACAGAACGTCTACAAAAATTACATGAATTTAATACAAAAGCTACTCTTCTCTTTCATCCAACTAGTCGACGTCTGTCAAATACAAAACCAAATTCTTATCTTCCACCAATAAATACAATACAAAATCAACAACAACGAAAATCATTATTAGTAGTTTCATCTGCACGAGAATTGACAGCATATAATAAATGGCAATGGAAACATTCATTAGCAAATGATCCTATAGTACGAGATGAAAATATAACACTGAGTTCAAAACAATTACCATTAGTAATGATTACTGATACAAATTTATCCAATACAAATATTGTTGAACTTGAAACATATGAAGATAATCATCGTTTAATGACTGATTTAGAAAAACGTTTATCTCAACAATTAAGAGCATCATATCGACCAAGACATTCAACATAAAATTTAGCAAATTTATCGATTATATATCGAGAAACAAAATTTAAACATGCAAATGAACTGTGATCGACAAATATAGTTTTCAATGCAAAACATGGTGCCATATATAATGTAAACAAATATAGACATATACATGGTATAAGCAAAATTTAATAATGATGAATGTTGACATGTTTTAGAATTCAAATCACATGGCTTAGGATTATTAATAATTCATCATAAAAAATTAAATTGACATAAAAAAGACTTAGTTTTTTTTTACATCTTATTTTATTGTTAATTAATTCTAAAAGACAAATCAATATGTCTGTTTTTGTTTTTATTTTTATTTTCTATATGATTTTTTTGTAAGTATCTCTTATGGATGACAAAGTAGTCTGATGAATTTCAAAATCAATCAGAAGAGGAAACTTGATTATGATGAATCGATGACTATTCTTTATTGTTAGTTTTGATATAAGATTTTGTTGTCTATATATATATTTTTTTAATTTATATCGCATGACTTTACATAATTACTCATGCAATAAAAAGAAATTACACTATTATTAACGGTACAAAATAACCAGATAGATTTATCTTGATTTAATAAATCTATTAAGATAGTCGATTCTAAAGACATCTTGACTGTATATATTAATTAATAATTTTTGTTTTGTATTACTTATATACATTGAAAATATTTTCGTGACCAATAGATCTTTACCAACAATAAAACATTATCTTGTTCTCGTGCAAACGAGTTCTATGTAAATGTTTTGTTCTTGAAAACAGATAATACGTTCTTTTTGTTTTCCTCCTACCCATATAATATTCACTCATGAGGTTTCATTCATCAACTAGATGGCTTAGACTATTTTCGATCTTAAAACAAGATAACAACAAAATGCTTGAAAAATATATTAATGATATTACTTGATCCTAGACAAATATTTAATCATTGTAAATGAATATCAAATATACTTGAAAGTCATTCAAAACATGTATAATTATTAATATAAGTTTATGCATAAATTATTTAAATTAATGTCATAAAAAGTTTAAAGTACAAGCATTATTTGTTTTTAATTAATTTAATAATGTGAAAGAGAATGTACTCACTATTAACATCAATAAAAATAAGAAGAGAGAAGAGTATGAATATTAATTTGGTTTTAAAACTTTATTTTCTTACTTTTTATTTACTAAATAATTATTGATATTTTTATCCAAAAATCGAATATGACAAAATCAATTTTTGTATTGACTCTAAGCATATATTTAACTTATAAATAATTCTCAGTTTGATGTATTTACTATAAGTTCTTTGATGATCATTTGAATAGATTCAAATACTTTTTTTCATCGAACATATTTTAAATCATATGAATCATTTTATAAGAACATAATCTATTTCAATAGAGAAGTTCGTGATTAATTTTATTGAGATTTTTTAAAGATTAGATTCCAATATGTTAGAAAATAATATAAAGCGATTACAAGAAAAAAAAACGATTGTTTAGTTAAAATTGTCATTTGGATTGTTTAGCTTGAGAAAAGACCTTTCCAAATTGCCCAAAATGCTTTCTTAGCATCTTCTGCCAAATCTTTTTGTTGTTCTTGAGCTTGTTCATCGAGTTCTTTAGCAGCTTTGAGATTGCTAACAAATCCAGTACAATTTGATGATAAAAGACTTGCACTGTTTGGATCATTAATGAAATTGATTTCGTTTTGTCGACAGGCGAGAACTTGTTCGAATGATGAATTTCCTTGAAGTTGAGTGATTAAAACTCGAGTTTGATTAAGAAATTGTTGAGCTATTGAATCATTAGCACATATTTTTGTTGCCCATTGACCTTTATCTTTGCCATGGTCTCCACCTGGACCTTTTGGTCCACCAGGTTGAGGACCATGCTTGTCAGAATCTTGACCGCCTGGTGGTTTACCATGAACTGCAGCAAGAGCTACACATACCTGTAGAAGATAGATAAAGTAAAAACAAGTATTATTTAGAGTATAATTTTAAAAAAATGACTTACGAAAGCAATGAATACGATAAGTTTAGCCATAGTTGAATGTTTTGTTTGTGTTTAACAGTATCGCTTTTTCCACCGATATTTATAGGTGGATCGACAGCGGTAAAGAACCTCAGAGAACGAACGACGCAGAAAGAGAAAAAGTACATTCTTTTTTCTCTATAATGATTGACGGGCGGGGCAAACGAGGTATGAGTAATACGTTTCTTTGTAACTCTATTATGTCCTTATAAGTTTATTCCAGTTCAAAGTCAGGTCTGTCAAAAGATATTGTATATATTATCGATAATTTATATTCGTACTCGAAATAAAAATTAGTCATAGATTATTTTGGTACGAAAATGTTGATTTAAGGGAGTAATACGGTACATATGCCCAAAATAGTACAAACATGTTATTAATGCTCATGATCTAAAAAAAACGTGCACTTTTCATAAGTTTACTTCGTAATACCAAAACCAATTAATATTATCGAAAATATTAAAAAACATTCATTTTATATGCGCATATAAATTTTTAAGCTCTTATGTAGATAATATCCGTGAAGAAATTTTATATTAAAATTTTATTAATGAAACAACGTCTCTTATTTTTTCATAAGCACTGATTAAATTCTTCGCTTCAATGGCAACAATATCTAAGAAACGATAGAATAACAAAAACCGGAAAATACCTCGACTGAACACACAACAAAAACTACATTTCCTTTTCCAAGTGCATAACCATTTGAACCCATGACTCAACTGAAAATCAGAAAAAGTACATCATTAATATTTTTTCCTTCATAAGACAAATAACAATCAAACTCATAAATGATTCATATTTATAAATTTTGCATAAAAACAATAGATATGCAAAATACTTTACGATAAAAACGTATACATAATTATTAATTGTTTTTTTGTTTATTCATAACAAAAATTTGATATGAATTTTATTGATACATAAAAAAAGTTAATATTGAAATTGACATATAATGGTTAAAAGGGAATAAGGTTAAATGTTAAAGTATTACATGGTATAGATAAAAAGCGACATCATTCGACTTGTTATCTATTCGTTGAAATATTTTCTTATCATAGTTCATTCATTCATATTAGTTTAATGGAACTATTGCAACATATTTATGAAATTCGATTCTTTTTTTTTCCTTTAAAAAATACTTAGTAAATCAGTTTAAATTAGACAGGTAATTATTGACATATGAAATACATTGATTTGTTAAATATTTAGATAAATTTTTGTTGAATATATTCATTCTATTTAGACTTATTCGATATAAACGAGATTGAATCTAACTATCTACTTTGTTCTCTATTCCCACTACGATCACGTACGAAACCACTTGTATATAAACAAACTTTGTGGCGCATGTGATCGTTTATCATGGAATTCGAGAATAATTTTTCGTCTTTTATTATTCTTTATCTATTTATATATTTCTTTATTTTCCAGTTAAGCCATTAAATATGAGCAATAACAATCAATCTAATAATCCCAATTCATCAAATAGTTTACCAATGTTTAATTTTCCACCATCACCTCTAACTTCTATACCACCACCATCAGCAGCCAATGCTGCTAATATGTATCAATCATATATGCAAGCTGCTATGTATGCATTTCATCAACAACATCAACAACAATTTTTTCAACAGATGTTTTCTGTTCCTCCTCCACCTCTACCTACATCTAACATTCCAAATAGACCATCAATATCTGTAGATAATAATAAACAGAAAAAATCAACAGGTGAAATTTATTCGAAATCCTATTTTTTTTTGTTCTAAGAATTTTCTATTAAAGATAGTAAACAATTTTTAAATTTAAATAATAATTCTCAAGATCGAAAACGAAATTGTTTTCCTTCATCTTCGTTACGTGATAATAATAATAGACAAATAGGAAATAAACGTCCATATGAACAATCATCTCGAAATTTTGAACGTCGAGAACCACCATTATCATCAAAAAGACGTCGAATAAATAATAATAATACAATTGAAGATGAATATCATGAGTATGACAAATTTTTTCTATTAATTCATATTTAATAATAATTTTAGTTCAAGTTCTGATGACGAAGAAACAACAACAAATGATATACCTACAACTAAAATTAAACCACAATATGTACGTACATGTGCATCAGAATTATATTATAAACGTGATGAACAAGTAAAATTTTGTTTCTTTGTTATATAAGTAAAGTTATATCGAATATTTTTTTCAGAATTCTCGTCTGATTCACGGAACACAAAAATTGAAAGATCTTTGCGCAAAATTTCGTAGTGAAGTACTTGCACAACGTGAAAAATTTCGAAAAGAAAATAAAATATTCGATGAACCTGATCATACAAATATTTTCCATAAAGCAAAACAATTTGGTTCACATATGAAAACTAATAAACCTGAAATGAAACCAAAAGGTATTCTTATTTATTATATTAACGAAAAAAGAAAAAGTATTTTTGTCTACTATTTAGAAAGTTCAAGTGAAAGTGGAGAAGATGATGAAGAAGCAGAAGAAAGTGAAGAAGAAGGAGAAGCAACAGCAGTGAGTTTAGCAAGTGATAATTTATTAACGTTGGAAATTGAACGTAAACAACAAGTAATAAATCGTTTACATTCCGAACTTTGGTTTAATGAATATAAACAAGTATGAAAAGAATTATATATTTATTTGAATAAAATTTTTATATATTTCTAGGGTAATGATGGTCCTGTATGTCGATGTAGTAATGATGATCGAAAATTTGGAATTCGTCATCAAATGTTTTATGGTGAAAAAGTATGTAGTAATATATGGTTGAGTGAAATATTTGTATATTTTGTAGTTAATAAATCCATGTGAAAAATGGAATAATAATGCTGGTCGACTTTATCATTATCGTATTACTTTAGCACCAGAAACGAATTTTATTGTAAGATTATTTTATTTGATTGAATTGAGGGAAATATTCGATTTATTTATTTTAGTTAAAAGAACCAACAGTGATAAATTATGATGATCATGATTATGTTTTTGAAGGTTTTTCCGTTCTTTCTCATGTATCATTAGAAAAAGTAAATAAAAACAATTTTTCTATTCATATAAAAAGAAAAATATTTTGTAGGTGAATGATTGTATTGTTGTTTATCATAATATAGATTATGCAATTGGTTTAGAAGAAGAAACATCTTTAGAACATTATACAATTGAAGAATTAGATCTTATTCAACAATATCTTCTTATAGATATATGTGAACTATATGATATTCAATGGCGACCATTGAATAATAATAATGATACATCAACTTGTACATGTTATCATTTTTTTCCTCGTTTTGCTCGTATTTTACCTGATAATGGCAAAGAATTACTTCATCCCGCTGAACAAATACAATATTTTCTTAAACATCTTAAACCTTTGATGCCTAATGATTTACACACACGTTGTAAATCCATGTCTGTCGATGCTTGGGATAAATATGTATCGAAAGTACAAGGTTCAATTGTCTGGTTTCCAAAACATCGTCCAGCTGCTATTAGACTTGATCAACTTGATCGAGAAGATAGTTCTTATCCAGTTATTGTTCATTTTGGTAAGAAAGATAGATATTTTTAATAGTTTTATCATGAAGAAGAACATAGCTTTCTTTTGGGTAGATCAAAGGCTTACTATTCCTTAGCCATTTGGCGTAAGTCCAGTAGATTTTCGCCAACCGTAATAACACAAGATTAGTGTAAAATGCATGTGACAAATTAACCTAATATTATTAAAAAAAGAATATTGTAGCCTAAACATCTGAATATAGTTACTAAGAGCTATTTTTATACATATGTAATCACATAATGACACTGCTGAAATCCGAGAAGAATGCAACGAGTGTACGTTGACTTTCGAACCTGTTTTTAAGCGATTGATCACTACTAGAATAACTAGGATATTATGAATGGTGCAGTAGGACTTTGAAAATAAGAATTTATTGTTTTCTTTAGGTATTCGTCCTGCTGTTTTATCTATTCAGTATAATCAGGAATATCGTCAAGCATATAAATCGTATTTAAAAGTATTTTTTCTTTTAAAAAATCGTACACCAACTGATGAAGATAAAGCAAATTTACGTGATAAAGAACAACGTTTAAAACAAATTGTTGCTAAACATGCTGAACAATTAAAACGTGAAATTGTTGTTGAAATTTCATCTGAATATGCCTATCGTACTGGTTTTAAATCTGATATCATTCAACATTCATTATTATTATCATCTTTACATGATCATTTACGTTTTCATCAATCATTAACAGAATTAGAAAATCAATTAGTTGGATATAGATTTCAAAATCGTTGGTTAATGCAATTAGCATTAACACATCCAAGTGGAAATTATGTTCTACATAATAATCTTGGTCCAAATCCAGATCATGTTAAAAACACTTTGGTAAAAAGCAAAAACATATTTTTTTTTCTTTAGAAATCTTGTTTTTTTTTCTTTCAAGGCAAATTGTCGAATACGAAATACAGTTTATGGTGATAGAAAACAATTATTTCGACCAATAACTAAACGTGGTGTATCGACATTATTTAAAATAATGGCTAAAAAAGCTAAAACATGTGAACATATATCAGAAATAACAAATTATGAACGATTAGAATTTCTTGGTTAGTAAAAAAAACGAAAAATTATTCTCTAAGAAATTATCTTATTTATCTATTTTTAGGCGATGCTTTATTAGAATTTCTTGTATCAATCCATTTATTCTTTTTATTTCCACAATTTGATGAAGGTCGTTTATCAACATTTCGTGTTGGATTAATTCAAAATCATTTTTTTACATCATTGGCACGTAATCTTTGTTTACAACATTTTATTATTTATAATCATGGACCTGATTTATGTTCACATTCAGCACTTAATCATGCATTAGCTAATTCATTTGAAGCATTAATGGGTGCTATTTATCTTGATGGTGGATTGGTAAGAATTGGTTTTGTTTTGTTTTTATCTTAAAGAATTTCTACGATCTATTTTAGGCAATTATTGATAAGATTTTATCGAAAATTCTTTTTCATCAAGATAAACCTTTAAGTGATATATGGGATAGTTTAACACAATATCCATTAAAAATTCAATATCCAATTAGTGATAGACATTTAATTGAACAAGTACCTTTATTACAAAAATTAACTAAATTTGAAGAAGAGATTGGAGTAGAATTTCAACATATTCGAATGTTAGCTCAAGCTTTTTGTACTAGACCAATACCTCAAAATGATTTAACAATTGAAGACAATGAACGATTGGAATTTCTTGGTAATTAAACGATAGATCTAAGATCTAACACAGTGTTAGAATCAAAATTTGTAATAGATAAATATATATAAGCGATTCTATTGTAAACACAAAGACTTTCATCGATAGAAAAAAACAGGAAATTCCGTTTCCTTTCAATCAGAAATAATGTATATTAAGTGTATTCAGATAAATATTGAATTGCCAATGTCTTTTTTCTGATTATTATCGAAAGCTTTGAACATACATCGTCAAATGATGATTAATTAACTGTAATGTTTTGTTATTGAGAAAGTACGATCTTTTGATGAATGCATGTCGAGACAGAAAAATAGTTATAACTCCAAAAAAATAAATACCTAGTACTGAACTCCTACTTTTTAACGTCTAGGGGGATGATTTTTAAGCAGAAGTAAACCATTCGTAGAGAGGAGGGCTGAATCCCCGTCTGATTACTTGCCTATTATGAATTTATTTGGACTTTCATTATTTTAGGTGATACTGTACTTAATTTTGTTGTAAGTGATTATTTATATCGTCATTTTCCTGAACATCATGAAGGTCATTTATCATTATTACGTTCATGTACAGTATCAAATCCAACCCAAGCTGTGATTTATGATGAATTAGGTATGCAAGTCTATGTTGATTATGTTCGTGAACAACTTCGCATAACAACACCGAAAATAATTGAAAAATCTTTAAAAGCTAAAGCTGATGTATTTGAAGCATTTATAGCTGCTTTATTTATTGATCAAGGTTTAGAATCCATTTATGCATTTTGTCGGGCAACAATTTTTCCACGATTACAAGATTTTATATCAACACAACATTGGAATGATCCAAAATCAAATTTACAACATTGCTGTTTAGCATTACGTGATCCAAATGATCGAAATCCTCCATTACCTGAATATCGAGTTTTGAAATCAATTGGCTCATCAAATAATGTTCAATATAAAGTTGGCGTTTTCTTTCGTAAACAACGTTTATCTATTGGTAGTGGACGATCAATACATGATGCTGAAATGGCAGCTGCAAAAAATGCATTAGAACAACATGCACAAATGTTTCCATTATTACATTATCAAAAATCTGTTTTAGCTTCATCAAATCATCTTCATCATTCAAAACGAAAAATATCAATAGCTTCAACAATGAATTCAAATGAGAATAATCGTCAAAAACCATTTTCATTACGAAATATAAAAACAAGAAGTGAAGTTTCAGCAATGATAATTACGTCAGCAAAAGTCAAACGTTAGATAACATTTTTCTCTTTCTGGTGCTCATTTTTTTTGTCTTTATTTGATTCTCATTGTTCAGCAGTGTTTTGTGTATCCAAATCTGTGTTTTTTTTTGAATATTATTATAAAAAGAAACAAAGAAGTCAAGTCTGTATAAGAAAGATATATTGAATTTTCTTTTCTTAGCTCGATATTGTCATTATAAAAATGATAACTATTTGTAAGAATGCATATTCTCATGTAGATGGATTTTTTTTATGATAAATAAAGAAAAAATTGAATGAATCTTTGCTTATATGTATCGAACGATGATTCATCGTTCATAATGAGATAATGAATCATATAGATTTATTACACTAAGAAAATGTCATTAGAATCGAATGTAGAACCACGTCCATCAATATTCGATAGAAGAAAACGGGGCTGTACTGATTGGCCATGTTTACTAATCTTCGTTCTACTTCTAATTCTATATATTCTTTTTGCCATATTTGTATTTCGTGAAGGTTCATTACGTCGTTTTATATATCCAACAGATACTCAAGGTCGTATATGTGGTACAGATTCACAAATTCATCGAGATTATTTACAATTTTTCGATATTATCAAATGTATCAAATATATTTTAATCGGTGCTCGATGTCCTACACCACAAATATGTGTTGAACAATGTCCATCGAAATTTTATCATTATAAATTATTATATGTACAAGAATTAAAATTACCAACAATTAACAAAGATAAAATTAAACAAATTCGAGCACAACTTTCAGTATGTTTTATCCAGGTTTCTTTTTTCGGATGTGCAAATTGAACTACCGAGTGGGCAGAATGAAAATTCTGGGTGGGCGCCGCCTAACAGTGCTTTGTCTAAGTCTTGTATTTTGGGTGGGCGAATTTAAATTGAAGGTGTGCGCCGCCCACTCGCTAGATAGAACACTGATGATGATAAATTGTCTATATATATATATTCTTTTGTTTTTGTACTATAGTGTGAAAAATCAGCTGAATCACAAGTTGAAAATCCTAATATATCTATCTATAGTCTTGTAAAAGAACGGAAAGTTTGTGCGCCTTATTCTTTTCCATCAATAAATTTTTATGGTCGATGTCTTCCATCAATAATTGTTCATGCATTAAATCTAACAATTCAACAAGCTGATGATATTATTAAAAATCGTGGTGGAAATACCGTATGTAATTCCTATATATATGTTAACTTAATCTCAATATATAATTATTTAGACTGATGACGATATTATACCAGATAAAATTTCTATGCAAAATAGTTTAGAATATTTTAAAAAAGCTTTACAAATCAAACGTGTTATATCCTATATGTTTGAAGATTTAATTGAAAGTCGTTATGTTCTTTTATTATCACTTCTCTTTGCAATGATAATACTTCTTATCTATATGTTTTTATTACGTTATCTTGCACAATGGATAATTTGGTTATCATTAATATTATGTATTATCGTATTTGCACTTGCAGCTAGTTTTTGTTTTGTAGCTCGAATACGAATGGAAAAATATTCGACTAATAACAATGCATTATTTGATCTTGATGAAATGAATATAACATTAAATATAAATAATTTCGATATAAATAATACAGATACAAAAATATCAGCAGTTGAAAAATTTGATACAGCAATGAATTTATTAGATGAATTTGTACCGATGAGTGTTATATGGTTAATAATAGGAATTATTTGTTGTATTGTATGTGCAATTTTAATGATTTGTACATGTTGTTTATGCGAACGAATTCGATTAGCTGCAGGTATGAATTTAGAATTTAATATTTTTATTCAAATGTGTATCATGATTTTCTCTAGCTTTAATCGAAGAAGCAAGTAAAGCTATTTGTTATGCATTAACTATCTTAATTTGGCCTATAATTACATTTATTTTAAATATTGGTTTTGTTATATTGGGTATTTTAGTTCTTGCACATTATTCGACTTTAGTAAAAAAAAATATTTTTTTTTCTTCATAAATATTTCATTGTTGGATTCATTAGGGTCGACCTATATATCAAATAAGTTGTACTCAAGATTTTGGACAATCCTGTCGAAAAGAATCTTTACGTTCTTATGTTTTATCGAATGAAACAAGACAAATAAATATTCATTCAATACCAAAATCATGTTTAGATTATCATGAAGGAGATAGTTGTAATGTCGATGAATTTACACAATTAAATTGTACAATCGATCGTATTCAATGTGTTTATGTTTCCTATGGTTTTGTTGATGAAACATTTCAACATTATCTAAATTCAATATGGAGTCATCGATTTGCTCAATTTCTAAGTGAACATTCATGGTTGGTTAATATATTTAATATATTTATGATTTATTGGTTATTGGCATTTACTATTGCACTTGAACAAATGATTTTAGCATGTACATTTGTTTGTAAGTTATTTAATTTATATTAACAATGAAAGTTTTTTTTATTTTCTTCCAGCATATTATTGGCAATTAAATCAATTAAATCAAAAATGTTGTCATAATTATATCCACAAATGTCTATGTTTTCAAGGCGTATTATTAACATTTCGTTATCATTTAGGTACAATTGCATTTGGTAGTTCAATTATTGCTATTATTGATACATTACGAACTGCAATCGATTTAATTAAAGATCGAATGGAAGCCATGAATATTGATAATTATGGAAAATGTTGTTTAAAATTAATTAAAGGTTCACTTAATTGTATTCGATGTTGTTTTCAATTTTTTTCAAGATATACTTATATTATGGTAAAAAATTTCTTTTTTTTGTTTTGAACTATAGAAAGAAAAAAAAATTAATTGAAATTATTTAGACAGCTGTTAGTGGTAAATGGTTTTGTTCATCAGCATTCACTGCAACAAAACTATTATTAGAAAATTGTTTACGTGTATTTATACTTGATCGTGTTTGTGCTATACTTTTATATATTGGACGAATAACTATTACAGTAAATAAATTTTAAAAAAAGTCTAATAATTAATCTTCTATTTAGATTGGTTCATGTGTTTTCACTGCATATATGCTTGATAATATTGGACTCAATATTACCTTACATTTTTCATGGTTTCCCGTACTTATTATTGGTATAAGTGTTTATATAAGTTCAGCTATATTTCTGAATGTTTATGCAACAGCAACATCAACATTATTTTTTTGTGTTATATATGATTTGGAAGTTCGTAATGATTCACAACAAATATCAAATCGTTTAAGAGAAATTATTGATAAATCGAATGATTTTCGAAAAACAAAATTTGAAATAATTGATGAACAATCGACAAATGATAGAACACAATCAAGATTTTAGTTTCTTTGATAAAAATCGACTCGGATGTCTAATTACAAGTTGAACAGGAAACATCCAACGGTGAAAAATTTCTTATTCGCTTGAAAGACCTTTGACTAATTTTCAAAAGAAGAAAAAAAAAGAGTAAAACATCTTTTTTTCCCGATCATTACATCGAATTATAAAAATAAAATAAAATGAAATAGAAGAAAAATAGAGAAGACAGTTGTCTCTCTTGTTCTATATGCATATGTTTTTTTTTTCATTGGGACATTTGGTTTGCTCTCCAGGACAAGTGAAACAACTGTATATATATAGAAAAAATAGACGAACAGCTTAAGTGTGTCAAAGAGGTTCGCTGAACATACTCAGCGGGCAATGAATAGCAAAAAAAATAATAAGTCAGCATGATATAAGAAACAACTAAATAGTATTCGAAAACTCAACACAATTTACAATAATAAATTAATCTCATGACTAGAAAAAACAGAATAGTCTTTTCTTGTATTACTCACTACTGCTCATTATTTGTCTATGTGTATGTGTGTCTTTATTCAACTATATACATTCCCTTCAATTAGCTTGACGCTCGTATCCGGACACGACACGATTCACTTTCCTTTTCTTTAACTTTGATTGGCATGAGATGTCAATGCGCGAGACTATGTTCATTGCTCTTTCATCGCCGTTGGGGGCCTCCCGACTTTCGTCTTCTGTCAACTGAGAGTTTTGTTTCATTTACAAGACAATGTAAATAAAGAATCCGCAATATAATTCTATTAATAAAATTCTCTTGTCATAAGAGAATTCGGTCAATTTGTTGAAGAGATAGAAGAGAGAAGGAGATGCTTATAGCATAGTACTTCAATCATCACATGTGTTCAACTATTTCTTATGTTTCAATATTTGCTGAACACTTGAGATTATTCGCTTGATCAACTAAGATTATTTTTGATGCCATATTGAAATTTTCTTTTTTTTTTTTATTCATTTGCTTTCGATTATATTTATTTCATTGGTTGTCATTCATTTTATTCAACATAATAATTATTACAATAGCCAATAGGAAGTAAAAGCGATTCTTTCTTTTCCGGAAGGGAGAAAAAGAGAGAGAGAGATAGAAAAAAAAAAGTTGAGTAGAGAAAAAAAAGGAAAATAACAAGTATCTATTCACTCTCGCGGATGGATGACGAAAGTGCTAATAATCAAGTACATACTAACAAGGTACGAGAAAGGAAAATCTTCAAGATCGATTATTTATTTGATTGATTTCCTTTTTTAGTTAACTCAATTACTTTTACTCGATGATATTAAAAATGAAAAGGTAAATTATCTAACATATAAATCAAAGAATATATCTTTTATTTTCTTTTTTAAAGTTATTTGAGACTAGTGATGATGATCAAAATCTATGCCATACGTGTACTGCTTGTAAAATAGCTATAACAGATCAGTTTTATTTACGTGTTGGTTCAAAAATTTATCATGAATCATGTTTACAATGTGCCGTTTGTCAAATATCTCTTGATAAACAACAAACATGTTTTCTAAAAGGATTTCAAATTTTATGTCGACAAGATTATTATAAGTAAAAAGAAAGAATTTATCTTTTTTTTCTTATTCCTTTCTTTTTTTAAAAGACATTTTGGTAATAAATGTTCGAAATGTAGTCGACATATTCAACCAAGTGATTGGGTTCGTCGAGCACGTGAACATGTTTTTCATTTAGCTTGTTTTGCATGTAATACATGTAAACGACAATTATCAACAGGTGAAGAATTTGCTATGCAAAGTAGTCATGTTTTATGTAAAACACATTTTATTGATCCAAATGAAATAAATGATGGAAAAGATGGTAGAAAAAATATTTTCTTTTTGTAAATTTACAATAAAGTTTGATTTTGTAGATACGAAACAAGGTAAAGCTAAACGAGTTCGAACAACATTTACCGAAGAACAATTACAAATTTTACAAGCAAATTTTGAAGTTGATTCTAATCCAGATGGACAAGATCTTGAACGTATCGCTCAAATAACAGGTATTAAGAAAGAAAAACGAAAATTTTCATCATCTAAAGAGCTACTAATCTGACAATTTCTTCGTTGAGATGAGAGTAGTATATATATATATATTGATGTGAGTTCAATGAGATGAAGTTTTCAAAAATAAGGGCAAAAAGATAACTTTCATTTCTAACTAAATTATATTAAAATAAAGTCAATAGTGATTTCTGATTCATACATGACTAAAAATCTAGTGAGAAATAAATTTTTGGAATAGTATCATTAAATTGCCTAAAATCTTAACTAAATTTATTTTCTTTTGCTCTTAATATATATATATGATGATGATGTTCGTGCTTTTGAACTTCGCATCTTTCATCTGATGTGTTCTAGGATTAAGTAAACGGGTGATTCAAGTATGGTTTCAAAATACTCGAGCTCGACAGAAGAAGGTACGCGATCGAAAACCTCAGCACGAACATCATCTTCATTCTCATTCGCATCATTGTTATATATCACAAGATACAAATCATCGAAGACGAAATACACGTAGCAGTAGCAGCAGTTCAAATTCCAACAAAAGTGGTGATAGTGCGTGATTTATATTATTTTGTTTTCAAAAAAAAAATATATATATGCATGATATTTATTTGTGAATATTATTTTTATTTTCTTATTCTTAATCAATAGCCTTAACAAAACGAACAACTCAGATATGGTTTCAAAATGCTCGTGCACGAATGAAAAAGAAACCATGTGCAACAACAAGTTCACCGCCTACATATGCAGCATTAACAAATAATAATCTTAATCTTGTTGATGCACTTCATTTATCATCAGGTTTATATTAATAATAAAAAAAGAAAGAAAACGTTAACGTCATTTATTTTATATTTATAGAACAACAAATGGATACGAAAATGAATCAACATATGAATCATTTACAATGGTCCCCATCACAAACGTCACCGGCATCATCATTAATCTATGATGGTGAAAATAGCAATGAAGAATATTCTACTGGATACATCTAGACGTTTCATTCTGTATATGTAATTGAAACACAACGAAGAAAAAAAAGAAAAACTGTGTGCTTTTTTTTTTTGTTGTTTCTTATCTAACAGTCAATATTTTTTGTTGTCCTTGTATAAATCTCGATGTTTTAACCAGATAAGTCCAACATAAAAGACAGAAATGAGTATTAAAAAAGCTGCTATTTGTTATTTAACTCGAATACCTGATGGAGAAACAATTGAATTTGCTGAACAACTTGCACGAGATTCTCGTTTATCATCAAATACAGATATTTATATTATGATTGATGATAATAATTATCAAATTCAATCAAATTCATTAATAAATTTTATTCAAATAAATAATAATGAATGTATAACAAATGGTTATCATTCATCAAATAAACTTGAAATGAATAAAGATTGTATATCATGGGATAAAGCATTATATTATTTTTGTCAAGTAAAACAAATGAATTATTCATTTGTATGGCTTATTGAAGATGATACATTTATTCCATCAGTTGATGCTTTTGTTTCTTTACATGAAAAATATTCGAAAGAAGGACAAGGAGATTTAATTTGTCAAAGAAATGAAGAAAATTTATATGGAAATACATCAACATGGAAATGGAGTGATGTGGTTGGAAAATTTTCACCACCTTGGTATCATTCGATGGTTTGTGCTATTGGTTGTAGTCGAAAATTACTTGATACAATTGCGAATTATGCTCAACAAAAACGTTTTCTACCATTTATTGAATATATGTTTAATACATTAGCTATGCAAAATCATTTAAAAGTTGTTAATCCACCGGAATTAAGTACAATTGTATTTCGAGAAAATTGGACATGGGAACATATTCAACAAAGACCTAATAATTGGTTTCATCCGTTTAAAAACGAACATATCAGACGAGATAATCGTTTAAAGTTAGTCTTTGAAATTTATTCTAGTATATAATATACTTTGTATCTAATAGAATGGCAAATGCATGGAAAGCACCTCCACAAAATACTGAACAGATGGCAAATGTATGGCAAACACCTTCACAAAATACAGGATATCAAGGAAATACACAATGTCAAGGACAAATGCCTCAATATCCATATTTTATGGAACCTTCATATTGTCCACCACCACCACCACCACCAAATAGTGGAAATGTTATTTCATCACTTGTCTATCCGCCTAATGTACCGCCTCCTTATCCACCTCATTAAATCACGTTTTTCTTTTCTCATGTCATAAAAAATAAATGATTCATTTAGAAAAAAAAATAACGAAAAATATTTTTTTTTATTCAATGTATCTGTTATAATATTCATAGCAGATAAGTTAATATAATTATAAACAGATCTTTACATTCTGATTTAACATTAGAAAGATATAATTGTATTTCCTTCTGTTGTGACTAATACTATTAGTAATAATATAGCAACGAAAATTTATTCAAATGAATAGAAAGAAAAATATCATATTGATTTATTTTTTTAATGAGAAAAAAAAATTATTTTTGATCGGACGTGACATATTTAGAAAATCATTTTTTATAAATATAAAACTTAATTTTTTAAAGAAAAAAGTTTTTCATAATTTATTTCAAATGAAAAAACAACAAGATAAATGTATTCTTTGTAATGACATATTACATATCCATCAATAATGTATAAAAACAAATATTTTTGCAAATAATGTAAGCAAGTTTTTACAATAAAAACAATTGTTCTTATAAAGATTGTGTAATCATTGTACTTTTATATGCATCAATCATTTAGAATAATTTTTAATTGTTGTTATGAGCAGCGTAGAATCTTCTTTTTCTGATTCATCACAATCGTATTTTACAATATATTTGTCACAACAAAGGATATAATAGACTGTCCTTGTCTCATAAATTAAAAGGACAAAAAGCAGATTTATGATATAACTGACATTTTTCGTCCTACGTATGCATGGTTCACTAACTCTGCGTCTTTTAATTGCAAAACAAGGTAAAAGGTTTTTTTTCTTCGTCGTTCGATTTGGCAATCCTCGTTATAGAGAATGACAGTATTGCGTATATTTTCATCTTAATTACATTCAGCGTTCTAATATTTCGATGCAAAAACAAAAAGAATGAAGAAAAAAAAACGACGATCGATAGAATAAACAAAATACGTCACACCGTTCTATTTAATATTTCATGTCATATAAGTAGTCGGTATAACGAAAGGATACGTACAGCAGAAAAAAAAAGTTAATTTAAAGATGAGAGGGGTGATACATGGTGTGTTGCTTTTTTCATTATTTATTGCAATTAATGCGCAAAATGCGACAAAGAGTAAGGCATTAAATTTAGAAAATTTCTGTTTTTGTTCAATAGAATTATTTAGATTGTTCTACGGCAAATATATGTGGATCGTATGGTTATTGTTATGAAGCAGATGATGAATTACTATGTGAATGTAAATTTTGGTGGGATGGACAATATTGTAATCATCGTAAGTGTTTTCAGAAATTTTTTTTTATTAATTAAGATTATTTTTTTGTTAGAATCCAGTAATGGAAAACAAGTTATTACACTTGGTTGTTTGACTGCTGCTTTAATTTTGGCATTCTATGGATTGAATGTTGGCCGAAAAATCTATCTTAAAAGAAAAGCACCAAAACAAGAAAAAAAAAAGTAAATATTTTTCTTAATCTTTTCTTTTTCTAATATATTATTATTAACTATATAGGAACGAATATGACGATCCTAAACTTCTAAATCATGCATTCACACATGTAAAAAAATCATTTCCATTATCATCCATTATCATCCTTGTTCTGTTGATGATTCTTGCTGCTGTCGCTCTTGTTGTTAAATGGGCACTTCTGAGACCAATTCATAATGATATAGTTAATAAATTCAAAGCAGAGCAGCCCATTTATTATAGCAGACCATCTTTTTGTGATGCATTCGAGAATGATGGTTTTAATATTGTAACACTTGCTGTTGCTGGAGCTCTTGTTCTTGTATGTATCATAGTAACTGAACGTATATCATGTATGACAAATAAATGTTATGGTCGTGGAGCACCACCAATGCCTCTTGATTTTTTTGCACATACGGATCGAAAATTTGCTGCTGTTGTATTTGCCGTTATTTCTAATGAATTATTAGAGATAGCAGCTGAACTTGGTGGATCAACCGATAAAGGTTTAGGTATCCTTGTTAAATTTCTTTTGCGTGTATTAAAAGTGATAACTATGGGTTTTCGATTTTATCCTATATTGGCTTGTATTCATATTAATACGATGGTGACATTAATATTGGCATCACTATATGCATGGCTTGATTTTTCACTAAGTGTTATTGTTACTGGAACGTGTAATCCAACTTATTATCCAGATTATGAAGAATATATCAGTAATGCAAGTAGTATAGAATTCAATTTTCAATATTTTGGTACTGGTTCAGGATTACTTGTAGTGGAATTAGTTACGGATATTCCAATGTATTTATGTTTAGCTTATATAAGCATTAAATTACCCATGCTAGTGATAGGAAAAATACTTAAACTTCGAAAAAGAAATATATCAGTTGAAAAACAAATGGCAAGATTACTAACACGAGACGAAAATAATTTGATAAAAATAACAACTACAGATTCTGTTCAAATGCGATATGTACGTAATATATTTCTTCCTGATGATCAAAGACCACGAAGTAAATCAATATATGCTCGTATAATTCCACGATTTCTTTATGAATGGAGAGATGATTTTCAATATTCACCTCGTGTTTTATGTGTTTATTCATCAATATTTCTTCTACTTTACTTTATCACTATTCAAGCTGTTGTTAAAGTTATTCCTATAATATATTCTCTTCAAGACACTATACAACAATCTGTCGATTTATTAATTCAATCCATATCCACTTTAAAAGATCAAGCTGGTCAAGACAGCGCAGATCCAGTTAAATCAACTTGGCCAATACCCAATGTAGTTGCAATATATAGCAGTGCAGTAGTTATGACAGTAACAATTATTACCATATAATTAGTTGTATTATTAGTTAATATACGTCGAAATTTATTACAAGCATATCGTGGTGATGATACAGAAATACCCCGACGAACTCGGAAAGATTATGTGTCTTATGCTACAGGAAGTTTTCATTTTGCTGGATACTTTATTGGTTATTTTATATCAGGCTTTATTCTTATAGCCATCTTTTCAACTGTAATTTGTGCTCTTCTCGGTTCATTCATTCAATATGGTAGTGCCAAAGCATTGGAAAATTTATTAAAAGCTATTATACCAAGTATTTTACTGGTTCTTTTCAAAATGTATCTCAATAAAGTACTTACACAATTTGTTTTCCTACAACATTATGGTGATGTTTTAGCATTAAATAATCGTCGTTTTTATATGATATTTCTTTATTTTAACTTCTTTTTGGATGCTTTTCTTGGTTTTGTTTCATCCATTGTACGTTTAATCAAAAGTCTTATCGGTGGAATTTTATATATGTGTCGATTAGATTATTCAGCAATGGGCCGAAAACTGGAAACACTCGATAGTGGTTTTGCTGCCTATTGTGGTTTTATTCATACAGAATGTACTCATCGACATCCAATTATGTTAGTATTTGTTTCATATTTATTCAATGCACTTAAGACGAAAGAATATATAAGAGATGAAGAGAGTGTCACTGGTACACCATTAGATGAAAAATCTGCTATAAGAAAGAAGAAATCAATACGATATATTCGAAAATGGAGATTGGCTGCTTTTCTTGTTCGAAATCCATCCATTGTTTTTCTTAGAAAATCATTTCTTAAACAATTAACTTTTGATGAAGTTCGAGCATTAAATGATCTTGATAATAATAATCGTATTGATACTCAACGAACAATAGCATTTTATACACATCAGATGGCTGCAAAACGAGCAAGTTTCGCTCCAACCTCTCGATCATCAGTTACAATTGAAAGATTTTAAGTTGACAAAATCTTTTTTTTGTTGAATGTCTTGTTCTTGAAAATATTTATTTAATGAATACTCACACTGCTAATACTAAACTGATATCAAATATTTTTCTATTGCATAGAAGAATATTTAAAAAAAAAATTTTTCTGAAATATAATTTATTTGTTGTATTTATATGTCAAATAAAAAACTCATGGTTTAAATCAAGAAACTTATTCAATATAATATCAATTATTTCATTCATAAACAGCAATCTTATTGCCGATTACATTTGATTGAATAGGCTCGGTATGAGCCATAGGTAATGCATCAATTGTTTGCTGGAGTGTTTGTGTATAGTGATCAGGTGATAATAAAAATGATTTAGTGAATTCTGGTGCATTACCATTATTAAAATGATGAAAGTGATAATCAATTTTATCACAAACATCTTTGGTATTAGTAAGATTTTTATCTCCGATTTGTATAATATGTCCGCTGATATTTAATTTTTGACTTTGTTCTTTAACATAATGGATATAATGTTGTTGATTACCACTTGCACTAAAATTATCACCACCATCAGTAAGAATATAAAGACATTGTGTTGTAGAACGATTAATTTTTTGATTTAAATTTTCAAATTTTTTTAAACAGAATTTAATAGCATCGAATAAAGCCGTATATGCACCATCTGGTTGAAGTTTTTGTAGAATTTTAATATGATGCTCACGAATCATTTCAAATGAAAATCGTTCATATGGATTTGTATCAAATGTAACTAATGAGATTTGATTTGTTGTTGAATTCCATCTAAATTATTGAGTTTTTTTTTATAAAAATCTTTGTAGATAAATATACTCTTTACCTTTGTTCAAAAATTTTTGTTAAAAATTCAATAGCTGCCTGAAATCGACTTTTACCAATATATTTAATATAAAAATCTGAATACCACATTGATGTACTTGTATCCAATAAAAATATTTCATATATACATTGTGTCAATTGATAATGACGATCAACAAGACTTTTAATAGTATGATTTGGTATTAAAGATGTTTCATAAACATACGCATTACAACGTTCTATAGGACAAGTCTGATGTTGAAGAATGCATTCACGATCAAATGAATGACCACATGGTGAAAGAAAAATTGGATTTGTGTAAATATTTCCACATAAATAACATATTAGATCATTTTTATTTGTTTGTAATGTCATCGTATGTTCTGTAATATTCAATTGTTTATATCAACCAATTTTATTCATTTATATCTAAATAGAAAAAATAAATGAAATAGTAGATTTTATTCTTTTAAATTACAAATAATGACTATACGAACTAGAAAAATCAAAATTACATCATACTTTGTTCTTCAGTGAATACTTATCTAATGTTTGTAAAATATCTTGCTTTTCTTTTTATTTATCGTATACTCTTTATCTTTAAAGAGTTTACACACCACTTATAATATAGTCTTGAAAGAAATACTTCTTACATAAATAATCAATATGTAGAGATTTAATATCAAGTAAAAACGAATGGCTACTATTTAAATGGTGGGTAAGTTAAATAATTAAAAAAAAGCAGTGAAATGAATTGATGATCCGTAAATTGTATGAATGGTCAGTTATTAAAATACTTAGATCTGTCACTATATTAAATGGTTAGTATGAAATGAAAATGTGTTAAAATATGATTTACTTTATTTTTTCTTCTGCTATGTTGTACAGATGATAAGTACGACATGTATATATATCTTTTTTTCTTTCCTTCGCATTATGGTATTTTCCAAATGTCCACTTCCCTTGATATAGTTCAGATATTTTTCCTTCTTATTATGGTCTCTTCCCAGTGCCGTAGATTTTATCTTCGGTCGTTCATATATAATTATCGTTTGGAAAATAAATGATAGGGTTTTCTATTGATCTGCTAGAGAAATCATTCGAGAATACCTTTTCCGCAGATTGAGGATATGAATGTAGTAATGAAGTGAACATTCATAATTACACCTACTATCCTTTTTTTATGGATACTTGTATATAAAATACTGACCACTTTTTCATTAATTTTATTGACCAAAAAATACATTTTCAAAACAAATTATCGTTCAAAGCGTACGCAACTTCATTGATGGTATTTTTCTATGTTTTCTATTGACATTGATCTAATTGGTTTCTTAAATTATAATCATAGAAATGAAAGTTTATTTCAAATAAAATTTATGTCTATAACTTAATCTAGTCAATTAAAAACAGATTGTTGACAAATGCTATGATGCAATCAAATTATTGATCATTTTACTCAAAAACATGCCCTATTTCTTCGCAAAGTAACTATTCTTGTATCATGTTTAACGGACACATGAGCAATTTATTCTCTACCTGATGATTATTAGCATTATTTTGAAGACCATATTTCTCTCCCCCGTAAGTGTTCACATAAGTTTCGAATTGTTTCTATCTATCACTAATTTACGTTACTTTTTTTTGATAACAAAATAATTATAAGGAAATAAATTTTGACAAGAGCAGTTTACTTTCCTCTTTTTAGTAAAAAAAACTATTTCCAACATCAAATACTATAAATTATAATTGAAAAAAATTTTCTTAAGTATAAGACAACAATTTTCAATATTTTATAAATGCCATTAAAATAACTACTAATACTATGTTGTATTAAAAATACACACTGAAGACTTATTAAGTTTTATCTTTCTTAGAATTGTATAGTATGAGAAAATAGACAGATTGCATCGATTCAAATATCATTTTTTAATGATTATTTGCAAAAAATAATGTAGTGTAGATATATATATATTTCTGTTTAACGATATTGTCATGATTTCTATTATATGACAATAACAAAAATAGTTTTCGCCTTACGGAAATTATTCATTAAGATTATTATCAGTGAACCATATAATAGTAATTAATTACATATTCTATTTTTATTTACAGATATATACACATTCAAATTTACTGTCAATAAACTTATTTAAATGATCTGAAAAACAATTTAACATATTTTTGTAATTGTATTAAAGATTGAACAAATATAGGTAAATCTATTGATGACAATAGTATTATTCTTGTATATATTAATATTTGTCTATAATTAGTTCTTTTTTATGTTAAATAAAATAATTCTTTTGTCGACAGGCAGCAATTTGATTACTGTCATAGCATGTTTGTGTAATGCGAATCATCTTAGACTGTGCTTATATATCCGCCTATACTGGATTTTATTCTTATTAGTTCTCTTCCTGTTGCTAAATACGTAAAAAGAATGAAGGAGGAAAAACGCTAACCCCCGTCATCTATCATCATCACATGGATCATGCATAGCTCGCAAGTAAATAGATAACAAACGACTTTTCTTATAATTAATTCATTTTCATAGCAACGTCTTTCATAAATCTAAACGTATTACATTTATTTTTTTCTTGTGCGTTCAAAAGAAAAGTATAGCCACAAGTAATTTCCGTCGTATGTAACATAGAAATCATATACATTCCAATTTTTCTTTACAAAGGAAGAAAAAACATATTTTTGAGTACATTTTTAAATTCTCTTGGAATTCAAAAAGTACAGTGAGTGATCGAATTATTATTTATTATTCTTACAATCGCCTACACCTTATAGAAAATAAAAATTTGTAATAATAATAGTCAGACTTTGTTTTTCTTCTAGACATTATACATTGTATGCATTTTTTTGAGTTGATTACCGAGAAAGAGAAGTCATAGCAAGCAGACTGTGGTTATTGAAGTGAGCTGGGAAATAGTAAATGCATATACAAACATGTTGACTACTATGAAGAGAAAAGGCAGAGACGAAGAAAAATATAGAATAACAAAGAAAATCAGTCGTTCTCGGCAGCATAGCAAAATAACACACGTTATTCTTGTTGTAACGATACTCATGCACATTACAACAAAATCTGGTGCATGTAAGAATGTAGAAAGAGAAGAACGCAAAGTGTGATGTATTAAAATCTGAAGTAGAACGTAAGAAGACAATAATAAGACTTTCTGATAGATTCTTTTTCTTTTCTATTGATTGACTATTAAAATTATCTTTTTTTTCCGATTTCTTCTTGTAGAATATAGAATAATATGATTTAATAATGTCTGTTATAACATTATTCAATAAATATCCTCTTTCAATGGCAAGAAGACAAATTTTTACTAAAGTAAATATAATTCTGAAGCTAAAAAAACATATTTGATTATTTTTCTTTTTTTTTTAATAGCTGAAAATTTTCAATAATCATTTTCGTTTGTTTTCATTATCATCAACAACATATGCTGAAGGAGTTATTCCACCAAGTAAAGATTAATTAATAACAATATATTATAAATAATACAATTGATTTATTTAGAATTTCAAATTGATTTACCTGGAGTAGAAAATTATGGTTTTGAGGGTGAATCTTCATTTATGAGATGTAAATATGGAGCTGTTGCTTCTGATTCTGATGAAGCATCAAAAGTTGGCAGGTAAAAAAAGACGAACAAAAACACACATGATTTATATCTAATCATTGTCGTCGTTTAGGCGTATTCTAAATTTAGGTGGTTCAGCAGTTGATGCAGCCATTGCTGTTCTTCTTTGTGTAGGTGTACACAATTGTCATTCAAGTGGAATTGGTGGCGGATTTCTTATGAATATCTATGATTTGTAAATAAATATGAAATTAGTTTTTTTTTTTAAACAAAAATTATATTTTTTTGTTAGGGAACATAAAGAATGTGTATCTATTGATGCACGTGAAGCAGCACCATCAAATGCTCATAAACGAATGTTTGTTGATGGAAATCCAGCACCATCATCTACCCATGGTAAATATTTTTTGTCATAGAAGGAAATGAATTTTTAATTTGTTTATTTTTCTTATAGGTGGTTTAGCAATTGGTATACCCGGTGAAATTGCAGGCTTTTGGAAAGCACATAAACGTTATGGAAAATTACCATGGGCAGTTCTATTTCGACCAGCAATCGATATGTGTAATGAAGGTTTTTCAATACGAAAAGCACTTGCTTTTAGTATACTTAAATGTAAAGATAAACTATGGGAACAAAGATCATTTAGGTAATATTATTTAATGATAAAATAGATAACAGAAGAAAAATTTTTTGTTCTTTTTAGACGAGTGTTCTTTAAAGGTGATTCAGATCATGTTTATGGTTTAGGCGATACAATATTTCGACCACGTCTTGGAAGAACACTTTCAATAATTGCTGAAAAAGGACCTAGTGCGTTTTATGAAGGAGAATTATCAGATCAAATTTGTGAAGAAATACAAGAACATGGAGGCATTATTAATCGATATGATTTAGAAACGTATCATGCTAGAGTTAAACCATCGGTTAGTGTTACATTAGGTGGGAATTATACAGCTTATGGTGTCCCACCACCTGCTAGTTCAGCTATAACTCTACTTATTCTTAAAGTCATGGATGGTAAGTCAGAAAACAAAATAATATAACTAAATAAATATTTAATTATTATTCAGGTTATGGTTTAACACCACATTCATTAGATACTGATGAAAAACAAGTGAGATTTTATCATATTGTTAATGAATTATTCAAATTTGCTTATGGAAAACGATCAGCTATGGGAGATGAATATGATTCACAAACAGAAAAAAATGCAGATATTGAAAAAGTAAAATATTTTTTTTTTATTTTTTATCATAAAAAAACAAAATTTTCATTTAGTTATTACATCTTATTTTATCTCCTGAATATGCTGAAGAAATTCGTGAAAAAATCAATGAAGATAAAGCACAACCACTTGCATATTATGATCCTATGTTTGAACCTCAAACAGGTATAAATAACAAACAATATATAAATATTTTTTTTCATGAATTATTTTCATTTCAAGATCATGGAACTAGTCATTGTTCAATTATTGATGCAACAGGAGATGCAGTTGCCGTAACAAGTACAATAAATACTGAGTAAATAAACAACAATTTATTTTATGTTATAAAACTAAACTGGAATCGTATTTTTTCTAGTTTCGGTTCTTTTGTTTATGGACGTCATACTGGTAAATGAAATGAAATTTTTTTCATTTTTATTAATAAAATTTCTTTAAGGTATTATTTATAATAATCAAATGGATGATTTTTCTCAGCCAGGTTTAGCGAATTATTATGGTTATGCTCCAAGTCCTGCTAATTTTATAAGACCATGTAAATAAAATATTTTTTTAAAATACGAAAAACATAAAATTTCTATTTAGTTAAACGTCCTATGTCATCAATGAGTCCAATTCTTGTTACGGATTCAAGTGGTGAAGTTGTATTTATTGCTGGTGGTTCAGGTGGAAGTCGAATTATATCATCTGTTGCTCAAGTAGCTATGTATAATTTATGGTTGGGTAAAAGTATTCGTGATTCTGTTGATATGCCTCGTTTACATCAACAACTTATTCCAATGGAAGTTGAATTAGAAAAACGTTTTCCTGTTAATGTTGTACATGGTCTTTTAGCTAAAGGTCATATAATATCAAGTTTTCGTGGTGGATGTGTTGTTCAAGCTATTGAACGTCGTCATGCAAATGAATTATGGGCTGTGAGTGATGCTCGAAAAGGTGGTGCACCAGATGGTCTTGGTTATAAACATGTAACAAAACGTTTTCAAAATTGGTTTCGTCGAACATTTAAAAGAAGTAAAGAACAACGTTTATTAGAAGAAGAAATTGAAAAAGCAAGATTATTTTCTCCAAAATAAATAAATAAATATCTAGTTATATTTTTTATTCTGTTTTTTTTTAAATATTACTGTGATCCTTTGATTTTCCTTTATTACTGTTTTCATATAATTATATTATGTAAACAAGACGATAGTCATTATATTTGTCTTTCCATAGAGAATTTATTCCTCTTAAATCTTTTTGCTGTATTTTATGTTGTTTTGTTTAGATTCTAAAATGAAATTTTCTAATATGAAGATAAATATTTTTAATGCTTCTATATTAATCGAGAATTACTAGAATAACAAAATATAATTATAGATTGCATTTTTAAAGTACCAATTGTAATTCATCAAAATTTTATAACTAGAATCTATATGTTTCGTATTACATTTAAAATAAAATAAAAGTATTAAATAATTAATTTTCATCTATTCGGGTATTAAGTTTTATTATGAATAAATTATTTATTGAAGTTTTATAAATAATTAATAAGTTTATTATATATATTAGAAAATTGTCACATTCTAACAATGAATTGTCATTGTAAGAAATGACATAGAATCTAAAGAGCTTCGATTATTTGTTCAATCATAACATATCTGTAGGCATTGTTTCAAGAGTATACTAACAAGTTTAGAAGTACTTTGATATAGAAATGAGAATAACATCTATTTTATTCAATTATATAATAGATAATTGTATTTATTTATTTCTATGATCCAGGTCATCATGTTATAGACGTTAAACTTTTTTTTATTCTAGATCATTCGTACTGACCTGAGTACGTACTCATATATTTGCTGACTTGTATCAGTTGGATACACTTAATTATCATTATTAGCGACATCTTTGATAAAGCTTTAATTCTATTTTTAAAACAAAAAAGAATTTGTTTTAAAATAAAAATATATCCATAAATTTATTTTTCTAAAAATATAATTTTGATTAGTTGTTCAATAAATTCCAATAGAATTTATCGATGAATAATAAGTATATATATTTTCTAAATTTGATTAAATTCTTTTTTAGCATTTTTATTAAAACAACTATAAACATGCTTGATGAATATCGTAATCGAGCATCATTTTGTCCTAAACGTATGCGTGGCATATTTGAAGATGAACCATCACAAGCTTATCGAGTATAACAAGACAAAAATTATTTTATATTAATTTAATTTATTTATTATTAGACAAAACTTTGGTCAATCTTAGGTTCTAAACCAATATTTCGTCAACCACAATTTCCAATATCAATTGATGAATATAAAAATTTAACATATCAACGTTGTAAAGAATTAATTAAAGCAAATTTATTAAGCGATGATGAAATGTTTGATAATCCTCGACATAAAATGATTCTTGAACAATGTTTAGCTATGTATGATTCATCATGTCATGCAAAATATACACTTTCAATGACAGTATTTCGTGAAACAATTCGAACATTAGGTACACAACGACATGAATATATTTTAAATTTAGATCAAAATCATCAAGTATGATAACATCTTTTTCATTATTTTATTATTTTATTTAAAAAATTAGATTTTCGGTTGTTTTGCTCTTACTGAATTAGCACATGGAAGTAATACAAAAGAAATGCGAACAAGAGCAACCTATGATCCATCAACTCAAGTAAAGATTTCTATTAATCTTCAAATAAAATTTATGAATCTATGTCTAACAGGAATTTATTTTAAATACACCGGATATTGAAGCAATGAAATTTTGGGTTGGGTAAGTTCATGATAGAATTTAATTATTTTTATAGTAAAATAATTTTATAGAAATTTGGGTTATCAAGCAACACATGCTGTTGTTTATGCTCAATTATATACAAATAATACGTGTTACGGACTTCATCCATTTGTTGTACCAATTCGGTAGATATTTAGTATTTTGATTGAAAAGTAAAAAGTAGGATTTTAATTTAAGTGATCCGCTAACATATAAAACATTCGATGGAGTTGAAGCTGGTGATATTGGAGCTAAATGTGGATGGAATGGTCTTGATAATGGGTAGGAAAAAATTAATTAAATTATATAATTTCATAAGATTAAAATTTTTAGTTTTATACTTTTTCGTAATTATCGAATTCCAAGAGAAAATTTACTTAATAAACATGGCGATGTTTTACCTGATGGAACTTATAAAACTCAATTCAAGGTAATTATCTGAAATCTATTATTTCAAGTTAATTCTATTTTGATAAGAATAAAAACTTGCTTATCAAATGATTGTCGTCAAGGTTGATTGATAAATATATATATATATATACGTAAAAAGGACTAATCATTGATACATAAAAAAAAGAAGAATAGACAAAATCTATAATTACGCAATGTCTATCAGATTGAGATAGAAAAAAAAAAATTTCCTTGAAAGTATTATAAATGAAGGTTAAGTGTAGATTGATAATATTTGAACCATTTTATCAAATGAATATTTAATCATAACTGATGATTTGTTCGTATAAGTAAAAAAGATTTATAATGATAAATAAATAATTAAATTGAAATTTAATCTTGATTAAAATTTTTTGTAGACATCAAGTAAACGATTTGGTGCAAGTCTTGGTGCACTTTCTTCAGGTCGTGTTGGTATTAGTAGTTTAGCAATTGGTTTATTAATTAATTGTTGTACAATAGCAATTCGATATTCATGTGTTCGAAAACAATTTGGTCCATCACCTGGCATTGAAATACCTGTTATTGAATATCAAACTCAAGTATTTTATTAATTTTCATTTCGAATATAAATTACAAAAAAATCTTCTTATAGAATTGGCGTTTAATTCCAATTGTTGCATCACTTTATGTTTATCGTAATTTAGCATTATCAGTTTTTGATAATTTAGCTGAATTTTATGCCTTATCAATGTCACGTGATGAAAGTGATCAAGATTTACTTGCCTATATGGGTAGAGAACTTCATGCATTAGCATGTACATGTAAAGCAATATGTACTTGGAATACACAAAAAGCTTGTCAAGAATGTCGAGAAGCATGTGGTGGTCATGGATATTTATACGGTAAATAGATGATTTATGATCGAAATTATTTCTTTGTTTTTCTTTAGCAACTGGTTTTGGTATTATTCGAAATGATAATGATCCATCATGTACATTTGAAGGTGATAATAATGTTATCTTACAACAAGCATCGAATTATATTCTATCGAATTATGAAGATGTATATATTAATAGTAAATATTATATATTGAAAAAAAATAAAAATTTGTTTAATTTTATTTTTATAGATACATCAATTCAGAGTCCATTTGAAAGTATACTTTTTATTAAAACAATGAAAAATATTCTTCGCAATAATCGATGTTCAATTACACGTGAATGTCATCTGAAAGGTAAAAAAACGATTTGTTTTTTTTCCAAAATTGAAAATATATATTATTTTAATAGATTTACTTAATGCTGTTGAATGGCTTTTATGTTATATTCTTGAGAAATCAGCTCGAAAAATTAATCAATTAACAGCACGTAATGATATGTCACCATTTGATATAAAAAATGCAGCACAAGTTTATCATCTTCGAACATTATCAATTATTTACATTCAAGTAAGAAAAATATTTATTTTTGTTTTCTATATTTTCGAAAATATCTTCTTCTTCTAGCGAACCGCTATTGTTCGATTTTCACAATATATTGAAAATAATGATGAAATGGATGATAAATGTAAAAGTGTTCTCGATAAATTATTAATTGTTCATGTATTAAAATTTCTTGAAGAAAATATGAATTTATTATTTGAAGGAGATTATTTTAAAAATGGTTCAATAAGTATATGGATACAAAATCGTTTACTTGATTTATGTGAAGATTTACGAAATGAAGCTGTTACTTTAGTTGATGTTTTTGCACCACCAGATCATATACTTAATTCAGTTTTAGGTGTTAGTGATGGAAAGGTAAATTTAGAAAGAATTTTTAGATTTGAAAATTTCAATATTTATTTTTAGGTCTATGAAGCAATTAATAAAGTAATACATACGAATAAACATACATTTTTAACACCACCATGGATTAAAGATGATTTAATTAATCGTAGTAAACTTTAAGTATTTATTAGTTTTGTTTTACATATATGATTTTTAATAAATAAAAGTATCTGTGATTAAAAAAATTGATTTTTATTTTTAAGTTTTAGATCTGATTTATTTTTCTTTATTATAATCAACATGGGAGATACAAAAGAAATCGAAAGGTAAATATAAAATTTAATTTCAAATATCAATATGTATTCTCTATAAAATTTTGTATCAACGAATAAATCCGGAAGTATATTCGGTTAAGAGTAAAATACTTCGAAATAGTATAGTCTGTGACTTTGAGTGTACTCTGTCTAAGAATCTATAAAATAGCAGAATTAGATAAATTTCGATCTAAGGAACTGAACCAAAGTTTTTCCAACCACTGTTTACACTATCGAAGTGCTTTGCAGTGGCGAAGCTAGGATTTTGGATGGGACGGACGATATCTGAAAAAGGGGGAGCGATTTCGGCTAAAAGCTATTTTTGAGTCCAGTCGACGTAGTGTGAGTCTATTTATTCGTTTATTTTTTGCTGTAAAAAATCAAAAAAAATTGTGAACGGGGGTTTTGAGGGGGAGGGGGGAGCAACAGCCCCAATCGCCCACCTCTAAATCCGCCACTGTATTGAAATTGATATTTTTATATATAGAAGAAAAATTTTATTTTTGTTTTATTTAGATCTGTACAAATGCGTTTATATGCTTTACATAAACGTCAAATAGTTGCTGTTTTTGCGCTTTTCTTTATCTGTTTATTAATTACTACATTAATTGGTATTGCTGGTCCTTCTGTTATTCAACCAAATAATTATAAATTAGAAAATCCACAGAAACAATTAGTAAATCAAATCATTTTAAAAAAATATATCTATTTTAAACTATTTTCTTTTTTTAGTCTGGTCCATATAAACTTAAATCAGATTACCTTGATACATTTCATCAACGTCTTTGGTTAACTATGAAGACAATAACTGATAACAATGGTAAGAAAAGAAAATATATATGTTGTGCTGAAGTTATTTTCCTAAATTAGAAAATATTACAAAGAATCTATGAATAATCATGTTAGATACAAAAGTTTCTAGTAATTATATTTACATGTTTAGTGAATGAGAGAAAATCTTAAACAATTTTATATCTATAACTTAGTATGATAATAAAATAGAAAGGATTAGTATTTACTTTTGTAAATTATAAATTATACGAGATCAAATCATGAGAATAATCTGATTAGAATAACTGTTTTATAATAAATATAAGATTAAATCAGTAGTGTTACTAATATGAACTTGATACTAACGAAGTAACAAGATTAATATCAGTTAATTCATTCTGATTATTATATTTAAAACTAAGAATATTCTCAAAATAACTCTAATTGATTTTGAAGGTTATCTTCAGTTGAATGATATATAAGTCAAGATTTGATTATATTCACGCTTTTTTCTTTTGTAATTGGAGAAAATTATGAATAGAATTGCTTAGAGGCTTAATTTAGAATATATATCGTAATAAGGAAGATAAGATTATTCATCAATTTTTTCTTGATTTTAAAATAATTTCGATAATATAACTTTAACACAACATATATATAATAAAAAAAGAAGATTTTTTATTTTTTTTTAAATATTATTTATTACAGATGAATTTCGTCAATCGATCAATGTTACAATTTCTATAAATAACCCATCTTTACCATCAAATCTACAAACATATGAACGTCAACGAATAATTCACTGTCAAAAACAGGTTAGTAATAAGAAATGAAAATATGTTCCTAGAGAGTTATAATCTGAGGAGAAGATGATGTATAGACGACGTTCGATGGTTGTAAGTAGCTAGGTGTTGATTGTATATAACTAGGTGCTGACTGTATATAACTAGGTGTTCCTTGAATATAACTAGGTGTTCCTTGAATATAACTAGGTGCTGCTTGTATATAACTAGGCGTTGATTGTACAAAATTAGGTGTTGCTTGTACATAATTAGGTGCTGCTTGTGTATAAGATTGTGATTTTACAACGGTTGGTGCTTGTCGTACTGTACGTGTTGATTGTACAGATCCTTTTGGAGGTACTTGAACACGATAAGTACCACCACATACTGGTGCATTAGGAGATTGATGAACGACACGTTCTTGTATAACTGGTGGTGGTTTTGTTGGTACTTCAACCACTTGATAAACGTATTGTTTTGGTTGAGGAACAACAACCACACGTTCGATTACATCAGGTGGTGGATCAGGTAGTCGTTGTCGTACAACTTGAATTTGTGGTGGAGGTTCAGGTGCATAATAGATTTCTTGATAGTGTCGTGGTTGATAATCGACAGATACTGGTGCATTACAACAGGGAAGAAATGTTGTAAAATTAGGATCACTATCAATACTAATACCAGTATTGTATACAAACGTCATTTTGATATTGTAATGCAATTAGATCAAAAATATGTTGAATGTAAATATAGTCGGTGATAAAAATTTTGTTTTTCTATAGCCTAAATAAATAGTATTTTTTGTTTACCGCAGTCATGCAAGCATGACCAACATATTATCAACTGGTGTGTATGTGCTTATAGTAAATGTGTTTATGTGTTTTCATTCTACCCCCACATGTCCTTTATAAATATGAAAAGAATCTGTTTTTGCTTTGCAATCCTAAGAAAAATCAAATATATTTTTCACGCATCAAGTGCTTCTGAAAAAATAAGCTAGCCTTTTATCTGATGTTAAGCTTGTATGCAAATTAGAAAACAGTGTATATATTATACGATAAAATTACATTATATATTGATGTTGTAAATATTTTCGAAATTTTGATAATATTATCTGAATGATATCAGTAATTGATTTGTATTTTGAATGTATACTAATGATATTTTAAATATATATATTTTGTAAATCAATAATTTTTGTTCATTAAAAGGAAGGAAGAAAGTTAACAAACTTAAGTGATATATCATTGTGAATATGTCCTTTGTTATTTGGATCATAATAAACAGTTTGATAGTTCATTTGATTCATGTATTTGACCTTTGTTTGTCAAGAAATAAAATAATGATTAAAATCAAATCAAATCTCGTATCTGTTCTTTTTTTTATGATAAACGATCGTCTATAATCCAAGATCATTTGATATATATTTGTATTTGTATATTAACGTAAATATATATTACTACATTATTATAACGTGTCTGTAATCATATTATACTTATTCATTTGTAATGTTTTATCAATCACCCTCGAAATAGAGGTTCATCAACGTGTGTTTCTTTGCTCATTCAAAGTCGTATGTATGTGTATATGCTCGCTCGAGCGAAGCACGTGCTATAATACACGATCGTAACTTATCAAATCGATCGCGCAATATGTACATTTTTACAATTACATGCGCATCGTTCTAATTAAGAAAGAAGGTTCTTCTTTTGCTCATTCTCCTATCATTCATCAACGAACAAGCGTAGAACAAAAAGAAATTGTTTATATGCATTCAATTGTGTCCCTAAACCTTGGTGTGCTCGAACAAGTAGAGGGTGCATGTTTCACTGCCCTTCGCTCTCTGAATCCAATTTTTTTTATATATATTACCGAGACTGATCAGGGTCAGGAGCGAAAAAAAGATGTTCATGGTCATATGTTGAGTGTCGTATAAATACGACTGTTTGTTAACAGTCTATTTTATATTCTATTGAACTTCCTCACGATATACAATACCTACTTCTTCAAATTTTAGGTAAGCATTGCGAATTCTTTAGTTTTTTTTTTGCTTTTCCTTAACCCTAAGCCCTTTTTATATAACCACTGTCGCCATCATCACCATCACCATCACCAGTAATATTAATATATAGAATATATCATTTTACTGAGATCATCTTTATGGTGGTTCACTCATATATTTATATACATAAAGAGAAAGAGGACACAGAGAAGGAGAATAAAAGTGAGAAGAGAGGTTTACCCTAATGAATTGATTGTATATATATATATATATATATATCTATTATTGCTGGATATGTAAAGAATTGAATCGAGTTCTTATTCAAAATTGTCTAAAACATACATACAATTAGAGTAATCGAATATGTAGTGTATTATAATGGGCCCTTCGTATTCTCTTGGATACCCTCGTATTTATAAAGCACAAATAGTTTGAGTAAACCCACACAGGAATGGGTCCTTACAATCAATTTACAACACAAACTGCAACTTATACATCGTCTTCAAGACTACAAGAAAGCAGTAATGGATCTATTGGTGGTGTTACACAAAACATTAGTAATATTGGTGGTCACAAAGGCCACGGTAAACGATCAAGTACTACAACCAGTACAAGTTCATCAAGTTCTTATAATTATAAACGTTATCCAGCTGGGTCGTATACTCAAAAGCAGGCTCCAGTTGGAGGAAGTGTTGGTGGTAGTACTTATTATGATCAACCACAATATAATACAAGCAGTGGTGGAGGAGCTTACGGCACTTTTAGTGGGTATGGTGAATCTTATTATGGTAGTGAAGCTGGCTGTAAGTCAGGTGACATGTACCAGAATCGTCGACAAGGTCGAATTCGTCGCCAAGCTATTCGTTTACCGGATCAACCGGGTGCTGTACGGCAAGTCAGACATCGAATGCCTACACCCGAACCAGATATACTTGAACGTGTTTATATTCGTCGACAGCCAAGTGAAATTGTAGAAGAAATTATTGAAGAACCAACAACACCACCACCTCGTATTCAAGAACGAACTGTTTATGAACCATCTGAACCACCACAAGTTGTACGGAAAGTAATTCGTGTACCACCTCGTAGTCATACTTGTCCAATTCATCAACAAGAAACACTAAATCAATATGGAAGTTCAAGTGGTGCAAATACTCCAGCTGCTGGTGGTGGTGCTTATGGAGCAGGTTACGGACATTCAGGACAAGGATATAATACGAGTGGTAATTATTATCAAACAAATACTAATTATGGTTCTACCCAGCAAGGATCACAAAATATTGCAGCTCAACAACAGACACCACACGGTTATGGACAAACGGGTTACGAAAGATACCAAGGATCACAGCAGCCACCGACTAGTGCTCCATTTGGTTATAATCCATCGAACTCACAAGGTCTAGCCAACACCGGCATGTATCCACCTCAACCAGGAGCGCCTCCACCAAACTTCTCACAAAATGCTTTCTGCTTTGATGTAACTGGTGCTGGTGCCCCAACGTCTTACGCATCCCAATCAGCTCTTTCTAGTTATGGTGCAAATCCTCAGGGCTTTGGTGGACTACCAAGAGCCGCAAATTTCGGAGCCCAAGGATTTAACTATGGAGGAGCAACAACAGGTTCTGGTCCAGCACCAGGCCTCGGAGCAGGCCAAGGGTTAGGACTAACTCAAGGTTTAGGAGGAGCACAGGGTTTAGGACTAACACAAGGTTTAGGAGGGATCCCAGGTTTAGGACTAACACCAAATTATGGTGCAGGAGCTAGTTCTGGAGTACATCACTTTGGTGGATTAGCAGGTTTTCCTAGTAGTAGTTTTGGTGGTGGTGCCTCAGGTCTTGGTGGCGGCTTTGGTGGGGGGTTAAGTACCATCGGAAACTATGCGCCGGATGGTAGCTTCGGAGGTGGATCGCTCGGTGGCCCAGGCTTGGCAGGTTATGGAGCTCAAATTAATCCGTACCCTGGAACTTTTAGTGGCGGTGCAATGTCTGGCTATGGATTCAGCAGTTCAATGGGAGGATTAGGCGGGTATGGTGGATCGTTCGGTGGCTTCGGTGGTATGGGTGGTATGGGCGGTATGGGCGGTATGGGTGGTATGGGTATGGGCGGTATGAATCCATGTTGTCCACCACCTCCATGTCCAATGCCATGTCCAATGCCATGTCCACCACCACCAATGTGTTGTCCAATGCCCATGCCAATGCCAATGCCATGTCCACCACCTCAAATGTGTTGTCCACCACCTCCAATGTGTTGTCCACCTCCACCAATGTGTTGTCCACCACCACCAATGTGTTGTCCCATGCCGATGCCAATGCCATGTCCTCCACCACCAATGATTCAACAAGTACCATGTCCAGTACCTGTTCCAGTTCCTCAACCATGCCCTGTTCCTGTTCCTCAACCATGTCCTGTTCCTGTTCCTCAACCTTGTCCAGTTCCTGTTCCTGTCCGTGAATGTATACCTGTACCGTAAGTTCTCATTTTTTACTATTAAAAATATTAAAACATAACTAATATATTATTTTTATTTATTTATATAGACATCCTGTACCATGTCCGGTACAAGTTCCAGTTCCTGTTCCTCAAATACAAGTATGAACATTATTTTATTTAAGAAAAATTTGTTTTATAAAACTTAATTTTTCTTTTGTATAATTGTAGTGTGTACCTGTACCTTGTCCTCAACCATACCCAGTAATGTGTCCCGTACCTGTCGAACGTATTGTTTGCCAACCTGTGTAAGTAGATTATTAATTAGATATAAAATTATTATTTTTCGTCGTTTTTAGTTGCATTCCTGTTCCTCAACCATATCCTCAACCATGCCCTGTTCCTTGTCCTCAACCATGCCCTGTTCCTGTTCCTGTTCCAGGTCCTCCTCAAGTGAGTTATCCTACAGTTTATTGTTATTATCATTGCATACTATAAAATAATATATACAATCGATAATCACCTATTTTCTTTCTTTATTTCTCTCAATAGTGTATACCTGTTCCTGTTCCTCAACCATGCCCTGTTCCTGTACCACAACCTTGTCCAGTTCCAGTTCCTTGTCCTGGTCCACCACAATGTATACCTGTACCTGTACCTGTTCCTTGTCCATGTCCACCACCACCAATGTGTTGTCCACCACCTCCACCCATGTGCTGTCCACCACCACCAATGTGTTGTCCACCTCCACCCATGTGTTGTCCACCACCACCAATGTGTTGTCCACCTCCACCCATGTGCTGTCCACCACCACCAATGTGTTGTCCACCTCCACCCATGTGTTGTCCACCTCCATGTGGTCCATTCGGTGGCGGATTTGGCGGCGGGTATGTTAAATATTTAGATTTTGCGCTGACTTTTATATTGCTTGACATATGCTTTTGCCCTATAGCTTGGCAGGTTATGGTGGCGGAATGCCCTTCGGCGGAGGCTTTGGCGGAGGCTGTGGCGGCGGCTTAGCAGGCTACGGCGGACTTGGAGGGTATAGATAGGCGATTGCTTATAGTTCTAATCTAGCAGCGTTAATTTAATTTAATTTCTTTTTAGCGGCTTCGGTGGCGGTATGCCCTTCGGTGGCGGCTTCGGCGGTGGCGGTTTCGGCGGTGGCGGCTTCGGCGGTGGCGGCTTCGGCGGTGGCTTCGGTGGAATCTGCGGTGTACCAATTGGATTTGGTTTTACGACGACAGTTGGCGGAAGTTTAGATCCATTCACCGACGATTTATATGGTGGATCACTTTCCTATGGACCTGGCTATGGTTTCACAGCATCTGGCTTACCATCACGAGCTGTAGGTGGTGGCGGTGGTTTCAATCGTGGAATGAATCGTGTTCCTTACAGACAACTATTCTAATATCAATAGCCGATCAATTCAGTTTCCCCGAATGAATTAGCCTAACCAGGTAGACAAAACAACAACAAGTATTTACATCATTTATCAAAAATAGAAATACATCAATAAACGTTGCAAACGGCTTTCTCATTTTTTTTATTGCCTTTTCTAGGTCTTTCATTTACATCTTATTTTACACATTTTTTATACTGGCTTATTTCATTTTTTATGCTCTTTACATCGTTTACTACTTCCTATAATTTATTATATGTTTTATTTATTGTTGTTGTTGTCTTGTGCCTTTTAATTGTTATATGTTCAAATGTTTTTATATACTTTTCATTACGTCTTCAAACGTTTTGATAAGTATATTGTATTACTCGTACTTGTTTGTTGTATTGTGTAATTGTTCACATTTTGTTAGACTTTCCCTTTTTTTTCTTTATATTAGTGAAATAAATTTAAATCGCAATTTCTTCGTGTTTTCTTCCGTATCATTTACTTGTTCGCAGTATTCGTATGTTGTCGATTTGTGATGATTTGAATCATAACATATTATATAATTCATACACGACAACTATTGACGTGTTGCTTTTATATTGATGATGATGATGATGTTGTTACTTGATGGATATTTAATTGTATGAATTGAATGTTAATAGTGTGACTTACAAGTCCCATTTAACATTGAATGTTTGATAGAAACTAAGGTTGAATAATTCCGTAATTGATTGATTGATTAAAAAAACATTGTGATTGATGTGTCTGAATTCCTTGAATATTTTTGTCGAAATGATATTAGAATAAACATAAGGTTACAATTAATTAGACTAAGAAGATTAGGTTTTTATATCATATTCATTGTCAATTATTAACCTTGTCTATTTTATTTTATGTTTAGGCTTGCAATCAACTTGTTTTATTTCATTTGAGTTTTTTACAAAAAAATAACTATGATTTTGAAATAAAACTCAATGGAATCAATGAAAAACAACAAGAAAATAAAATAAAAGATATTCAATTTGTCGTAAGATCATAAATATATGATTAAATTATTTATATTTACTTTCTTTTTTCAGTTAAATACAGTCAATCCAAAATATACTCAATTTGAACTTGCCTTTCGGTTTTTCTTTTTAATATGCACTGTTACGACTACAGTATGTAATTTTAAAAAAAATTCAATTAAATTTTTTTTGTTCTATTTCAAGTGTCTTTTTACGAAATCGATGCGTCGATTTTCTATTTTGGACTGGGCATTAGAACAACGATGGATGGTATTTCTTCTCGTATTCCTCGTTTTTTATAATGGTAAAATATAATTATTAGAAAGCACGAAATTACGGTCAAAAAAATTTTTCGGTCAGGACCTAAAATTAATTTTCTTTTAATTGCCATAAAAGGTCACATTTCTATAAATAATTGACATCTTGCACTATTTTAACTAACCATAGGTTATGTAATTCAATTATAATATTTCATTTCTATTCTCTTAGATCCATTTTATCCATTAACATTCTTAGTAAACAGTTCATTTCCATCGATTCTTGATGGAATCTTACAAACAACATTTCTGTGCATATTATTACTGTTTTGGCTAAGTGTTTATCATGGAATTCGTCAAGTATATATAAAATTAAAATTATTAATTGATTCATTTTTTTGTCTATAGAGTACTCGTCGATTTCTTCCATTTTATTTACCAAAAATAATTCTTGTCAGTGTTCTTTGGATATTTTCTATTGTACTTTCATCAACACGTACAACACAAGAATTTCGTGATCCAATGTATAACATAACAATTGATATAAAACAATTTACGGTTAGTTTATTTAATTAACGAAGAAAAAGACATTCATGACATTAATATAATAAATTTATTTAGACATTTCGTATTATCTTCTATATTGTTGGAATATTATATATTCTCTACTTATTATTTCTCATCATTCGAGCTTTTGGTGAACTTCGAAATACACCATATTTTGGTAAATATATTATTTTCTTAGATTTGACATAAAATAAATTTCTATTTAGATATTCGTTTAAAATTTACAACTTTATTAATGCTATGTGTTATATTATTTTTAATTATTATTACAACACTTCGATTTAGTTCAAGTATTATTGAAGAAAATTTCGTACCGGAATTAGCATCACATTATAAAAATTCAGTTGAATTCCTTTCATTCTATAGTGTTATTAATTTATATCTATTTACAATGGCGTATGTTTATTCACCAGCAAAAAATGCTGCTTTTGATTCATTATTTCGTGATAATCCAACATTTTCCATGTTGAACGATTCAGATGAAGATGTTGTTTATGGGTAATCATAATTAAAAAAATATTATATTTATTCATTTGATATATTTCTAGATCTGATCATGAAGTATCTCGATTAACATCAATAGAAAATTAATTATCTCAATATATATCTAATCTGACAATCATAGTTTATGTCTTTCATTTTATCGTTTGTTTTCATTTATACTGACTATTGTGACTATCTCCATATCTGTTCTAATCGAAAGATAATAATGTCGAAAATTTTTATTTAATCAGAGAAGACAAAATTTGAATAATGAAATAATTAAGACTATCTATATATTTTTTTTCAACATTTTCTTCTTTCGATTAAAATAGTGATTATTGATTTTTTTTTTGTTTATCTCATTGTGAAAAATTGGATGTGAATTAAAAAAATAAATCTTTTATTGAAATATATATAAAATGACAATAATATTTATCTGAATAATCAATTCATTAAGGCGGCTGACTGCACGTATGTGCAGCAGTCGACTTATTGCTTTTGATATTCTTCTTCTTCTTCTTCTTCTTCTTCTTGTTCTCGACAGATGAGTCACGATTCAATTCTGCCACTCGTTCTTAGCACCTGAGCAACATTTTCAATCGGAGAAAAGCTTGCCATATTCGTGAGAACGTGTTGAGTGCACATCTGAAAACCGTTTTTTGAAATTCGGCTCCGTGCGGGAGATAAATAATTTTAAAAAAACCATTAATTAACACGTGATGGTTTCCTTATATGGTTATGTATGACTCAGTATTATACGACTATTGACATATGAGAAACTATATGCATATACATTTTAATTATCGTTTTTTGTGACTAAAGTCCATCATGATAGAGTCTAGTCTATGAAAAGTAATTATTCAATGGCTTGTTTATCTGAGTTTAATTAATCGTTTTTGAGAATAAAATAAAATAAAATTTTAAATGGTTCAACTTTCCACGTTTATGACGGTTGTTAGACTTCTGCAGTCAGCCGCCTTTCTCCTACTTGAACTTGCTTCAAGTGGAGCTCTAGTTTATTTTCCATTCATAAATAATATTAGATCAAATCTATTGTAATTTTATATTTCAATAAAATAAGCACACACACACTTAACAATTATTGTATTAAATCTTAATTTAAAACTGAAAAAAAGAAGAAAACTTTTATTCATGCAATATATACAGTTGAAATTTTTTTTCTGTATGAATATTACAATCATTCGGGTTCATCATCTTCATCTGTATGTGGTATAAATGTACCAGCTGCATTTAAATCAACATCAATTGTTGTATTATGCACTCCATCACCGTTATCAGATAAACTATCTAATGATTTCATTCGAGTATTTTTTATATGTAAATTATCATTTTTTTCATTTTTATCCAATGAATCTAATGTAGTTCTTGAAACGATAGAAGATTTCTTTTTGTTAATTCTATAATTTTTGTTGGTATGTGGTGACAATGGTGTAATATCTGATGATTGTTGTATATCACTTGTTGATTGTGGTTTTCTTGTAAAATAACCGAATGGACGTACAGGTGGAAATATATAACTTGTGATTGGTAGTGGTTGTTGAAATTGATATATAGTGGGATCCATTTGATCATAATTAAATGGATCACCAATAGTTAATTTATTAAAAGTACATAATTGTTTTTCAAAACGCATTAAACTTTTTTCACGTGACTCTTGTATACGTTTATCATGTGAACTTAGTTCTATGGTTGGTTGATCTCGACTAATAAATGAATTTAATCTTTGATGATGTTGTTCAGGTGAATTAAGAGGACATTGATGTAATAAAGATATATCAGCATTATTCGTACTAGTATTATGAACAGCAGTATTATATCGTTCTCGTATTCTATTTGGATAGTTAAATTTTTGAGAATTTTTTGCTTCTCGCGGTATTCGTGTTGATATACTTGGAAATGTTGGGGCTTTAAAAGAATATTCAGTTAAACCTTGTGGTTGTTTTATTTGAGGTTCTTGATGTTGCTGACGAGATTTTGGTAGTACAGGTCGACCATTTCTCGAAATATTATTTGATTCACTTGGCGATGGACTGCCTATATAATCAGTTGGACGACGAATAAGTTGATGTTCTGTTTGACGAAATCGTTTTATAAGTTCATCAATTGTTCCAACACGTACAGCATTACCTTCAATGCCATTTAAATCATCATTCATTAATATTTTCATTGCATCTGCTGATATTGTTATCGCTGGTGGTTGTCTTGTAAATGTTTTAGTTAATGTTGATGGTAGGATTGAACTTGTTATATCGCTTACTTCTAAATTCAATGGACTTTGTTTCGAAGGAAATTGTTGATGACGATGATAATGTCGACGACGTACATCAGTTTCTCGTAATGTATCAATATTTAAATCCGATTTCATACGAAGTTTATAAGCAATACGATCGAGAGTTAAAGAATTTTTTGAATTATCCATTAATTCATGAAATGCAAGCATAGATGATTGTTGTTGAGGGATGAGACGATTTGAATGTGTTGACATTTGAGATGTTTTTGGGAAATATGGTTTACTCATTGAATATTCTCGATATGGATTCGTATTTAAATATTGCTCAAATCGCACTAGACTTTCTTCACTTAAAGAACGACGCGACATAATTGATGAATTATGAAAATCTAAATAAATATTAAAATGAGTATTACTTAAGCAATAAACTCAGTCTATTAGTAGTTTATCGATAATAATAATAACCATACCTGTTTACATTCACTAGGAATCACTAAGATGATATCTAAAATAATTACACAGTTAAATCATAGACTTATAAGTATTAATAAATGTTAGTGTCCTTCGGAATTTTTGCTGTAATTTATGTAAACATATTCATAGTTTAAAACTTACTGGCTGTCAAAAAAAGAATTTTTTTAGTCTATTCTTATTAATAGCCTTTTGTCATAAAAGGTAAAATACAAACGTTTATATAGTTATTGCATTATTTTTTTAAAGTAAAAAAGAAACATTTAATAAGTATTTGGTAGATTTCTTAGTATTTCAAAAAAACAAAAATCTATTACAATTTTTAATACAACAAGTATACCATTAGTTACAAATAATCCTCTGTGGGATCTCATCAGGCGGTTAAATAGTTTTTTGTTTCTTTTATTCTTTATAAAAAATTGTTTGTGTTGTCTTAAATCGATCTGTGTTCACAACGGTACTGATTGTCTTTTTCTCTGTCATGACGATAATAAACATCGTGTGCATGGCGAAAAGGATCTTGACAAACATGAGTAAAAAAAGAAGAAAGAAAATGTGCAATCGAAAAGGCAAGGGGGGAGACGGTTAGTAGAAAGATGTGGAATAAGAAGAAGAAAGTGATTTAAAAATGTCCCTCTCTCTCTCTCTCTCTTTCTCAAGTACCCACAGGCTGTATAAGTAATGCATAAAATGTAAGAAAAAAGAAAAGAAAAATTCTTTATGAAGAAAAAATGTTCATTTTTATTTAATAATATAACCGAAAACAGATACTAAAAATTATAAAAGAATAAATTATCCATTTTGATAATATTATTGGCGATGTATGATTACATAAATCATTTGTACAACATGTTTGACTAATAAGTGAACCTATACTTATATCAGGTATAAAAGCACATCGTTTTTCTCCACAACCACGTTTTAATTGTCCACCACTGATGGCTTTCCAACAAAGTTTTGTACTTGAACAATCGATTTCAGTTACATTGCCATCACCAACATTTTTTCCTGGATTTAAACATGGATCTTCAGGTTGTTTTTTATTACCTATTTTACCAACACATGAATAACAACGAATGCCAAAAACTACTTCGATCTGTAGTAAAACTATAAGATAGATGTATAATTTCATCATTTTCTTTTTTCATATAAATGTACACAAATAAACATATGACCAAGAAAAAGAAACACACACACACACACACACACACACGTTACGTAGACAAACACCTTGACAGAACGAATAAAAGTGACAAAAACGTTACAAATATACTGAAGAAAAAAAAAAAGAAAGTAATCTTTTGATCATGAATAGACGTCATACAATCGTCTATATTATCACCTATTAACTTCCAATTATTACAGATGCATTTATTCGATAACTATAGCGATAGATTCGATCGATTATACTGTATTTCGTACTAAACGATTGTTCACTTCATAATCCAATCTATCATTTGTATTCATAGATGATTACATTATTTTATTAGATAAATGTAATTTTATACACAAAAAAATGTTTATTGTCCTTATGATTTAATCTTACCTTTTTTTTGGCTTCATATATCATGACAATACTCATTGCTTTTTGATAAATTAGATCGAAAATTTTTTTTGTCAGTCTATTACCTTTATTAGTCAGAGTATTGAATAAATTCTTTATTCTTGTTCTTTTATACGATTTATGTAATTCGATCTGAGTTAGTTACGGGTCAATCGATCGATACAAATCAGATTTATGTTGTATCTTCATAAACATAATAAAATCGATAAACTTGGAAAAAACTTTTATAAATGGCTAATAATTTTAAGAAAAAAATTCATATTTAGTTTTCCGCTTAGCAAAAATGCCTTATGTATATTTTGTTCTATAGAAGGTTATACATTACATAGTTCAAAGAAATGACTACAAAACTTACATTAATAATTCGCTCATAAAAATATTTGTTAAGAAAATACAAGAAATCATTTTTGATTCAATATTCAAAAGACTGTATTGAAAAATATTATATTATGTCATTGATCCATATATTTCAATCAATGGATTTCTTTTAGTAAATAGATCTATTAATACTTAAATCTTGTCTAGTTCTTGTTCTTCAACACTTATGCGTTCTACTATATGATTTGAACTTGACGATGATTGTATTTTATCAAATATATTTAATAAAGATGTTGATCGTGATTTTGTTCATTTTAAAGAATGTTAATGAAAGCCAATATAAGAGATATATTGTCAAAGCCCATATTGATTTTAATATATTATTAGAAAAAAATTACTTTTTATTTTATAGGATAACGAGAGAATGAAAATATTTTATCTCATAGTTTTAATTATTAGAGTTGTATTTTCATTCAATTTTATTGAATGAATAATAATATCCCGAATGAGAAGACAGATTCAATGTAATCAGGACATTTGGATATTTTATTTTTTTGCATCTCAATGAATCGATAAACATGTAAAGTTTCAATTTTCTGTACTGACATAAGTTTCATCTAGCTAAAGATTATATCGATGTTTGTAGTATAATATACAAAATGTTTTTCTCAACTGTATTCAAGTAAAACTCAAGAATAATATTGAAATATTTATTAATTACTCATTTAATTTTCGTTTCATAATACAAATTAATTATACAGCACTGTTAAAGTATAAAAGGATGTCGTATCATACAAAAATCGTATGATATTACAAATAATGAAATAACTTATATACATGTATTTTATTTAATGATTTAAAAAAACAATCTGTATGATGTTCAACAAAAATCATACTTATGATTATGAATCGAATTATAGCTGGACAAAAAAAAACAAAATATCCGATTTTCTATATTTTGTTTATGTATATTTTTTCCCTATTACTAATATTAGTATCATGAATAATAATGATTCATGAAAATAAAACGATATGATATGTCACTTCCTTCTATTTAAATACTATTCTTTTTTTTCTCTCGTTTGCTTATTCTAGTCAAATGTTGAATTACATTGCTTGATATACAGAATTATCAAAATCAAATATTCGAATGTACTTCTTAGTTTTATTTGCAAAACAATCTTGTCTATCATAATGTATTTTTCAAAATGCCATACACAGCAAACATTTTTCATCGAAATTTAAATCGATGTAATCTCATTACCGGTTATACATAAAGAACTTTAAATATTACGAAGAAAGGTATACACATATATCAGCAGAATATCTAATATGATTAAAGTAAATAGACATATCGGAAAATGAAAATAAAAAGAAAAGAATATTATTCTGATTTCCGTCGTATGTCAATAACTTTTTTTCAAATAAATGCAAGTCATTTAATCTTTCGTTATCACCAATTGCCTCGAAGCAATAGTCTATTTGCTTTGAATTGACAGTCTTCCAAAGAGATTTAGTCTTTGATGTTTTCTACGAAAAAAAGAAAATCAATCCATTTTATTTTTTCATTTCAAATATTATTATTTTCATAGTAGATTAATCAATATGTTCAAAGAAAATCATATATATCCAAGAAAGTCATCATTGATTACTGATAATATAACCTTGACAAGCATAATATTATTTTTTTTTTATTAAATAATCGTATGATTTTATAGATTTTCTTTTTTTAAACTTATATCAAATCTGTTATTTTTCTCACCCTTTTACTGATATGATGAAGTGCACTGATAACTGTACTCTTTTTCATTCGTTGATAAAACTTGACTAGTAGAAGAAATAGAACGAGTACACGTGTCCATGTCTATTTCTTTTTCATCATTGATATTGTTCAAAGTATATCTATTACTGAAAGACATGAATATACAATTATAAGATAGAAAGAAAAAGAGCCGAAGGCGTGGTTACTTAAACAACATGTATAACATACATAGATATATGTATATGAAACTACTAATCGTTCTTTATTCCGCCTTTGATATCTACTCATATTGATCCATTTATTGAAAGATCAAATAAGCTTAAAAATTTTAATAATATACATGATTATTTTAACACTTTATTTAAACTAAAATTCAACACTCATTGGTCTTTTACACGCACTCTTTTTTTTTCGCTCTCTTTCTTAATATAATATAATAAACAAAAACAAAAAATCAAAAGGAAAACATTGTCTGATATTCAGGTATATGATGATGATAATGATCAAATGGATGATTTGTTGAATAATAATTCATATGTGGATCAATACTAACTGCAGTCATCATTGGTGGTGGAAGATGTTGAGAATAAACATCAAATAATTGATGATGTTGTTGAATGTCATTGGATGATGAATCGGAAGATGATGGTTGTTCACTACCAATTGATGTTGCCATCGATCTCAATCGTTCATACCAAACATGATCATCTTCATAAATTGCTGTCTGTTGTTGTTGTTGTTGTTGCTGATGATGATGATGATTATAAACAGGCAAGAATTCATTTCCATTGATTGGCATGTCCCATTGTGATGAAATTGATTGTAAATGATTAGGATTTAAACTAGTTAAATTTACATTATCTTCTCCATCGTCATCTTCATGATTATTTTCATCATCACTATCATCACTATGACGGCGACTTGTAGATAAATGATTATTTCTTGTTGAAATACTAATTGGAATAGCTGGACATGAAGGTGATGTTGATACACGAATTGAAGTTGATGATGAAAGTATTTCAGGTATCCATACATTAGCAGTAACAACAATTATATCCGAATGATATATATTACAACCAGGTGCACTAATAGATGAATGATGAACCAAATGATGAAATGATGCATCATGCCATGTTAACGAATGACCCAAAATAATTTGTCCTAATAAACAAAAACATTTATTTTATTCTATTTCATTTGATTTTTTTGTATTTCTCTATTCAACGATAAAAATAAACAAGCCAAAGGCAATATCAGAAAATAATCTGTTATATCAACATATCTTTTTTTTTTGTTTTTATTTTTTCTTGATACCGGTTAGGATCATTCAAGATGATGATGGGCCACTTTTCACTCTTTTAAGTTATTGGATAGACAACTTGATTTTTTGCCCCTATCGTTGTATCATTTTGATTTTGAGAAATAAAAACATACATCATATCAAACAATAAAATAGCGGTATACACTCATCGATTAGTCAAGAGGAACTAGTTAGTATGATGATGATGTAATGATAACTAACGAACAAGAAAGAAAGAAAGCAACTAATTGAAAGCGGCATTGATTCTTTTATATTGTTTTTATGGATAAAAATAAGAAGAAAACTAAATCGAAATGAGATACGTGATGATTTACTTCTATCGGTTAGTGTCATTCTAGTAAAAGATCAAATGTGTACAAAGACTAGAGAAAATTTGACCGACTGATTCTAATGACTATTATATATTTGTATGATAAATGGGCGGAGGCACGCGACCACTGACCAGCTGGGACAATAGGAAGGGAAAAAATCAAGTAGAACATCTTTATTTGGATATATAGACGAGAAAACAATTCTCATTAGCTTGAAATGATGATAAATGGATTTGAAGTGGAAACGATAGATACTTGTTCAGTCTATATAGGATAAGATAGAATAAACACTTTTATTTTTCATTTTTTTATTCCATCTTGTCATTGTCTCCGGCAGCTGATTTTTATGTTACTAATTCTTTTCTCAAGTGTGTTGGATCATCATCATTTATCCATTTTTTTGCTGACTAAATCGTTTGCTTCCTTTTCGTTTCAATCTGTTTACATTTGAACACTCATTATATTCATTTTGTTGGCAAACAAAACTTATAAACGAATAATGATGATGATAAAATTATCAACACATTCACACTATTCAAGTGTACGATTGGCAATATCTTATTTTTTCTTGCCTTAAGTCAACTCAACGAAAAAAAAAGAAATAAGTATTCCCTAAAGAGAACTTAACAAAAAGAATAACTACTGTTTTCTAACAAAAATGAAACAATCATGTTTTTATCATACATATGTATGTCAATAATTAAACTAAATAAATAAATATCAACATGAACTAGAGTCTAATGGGAGTAGAATATCAGATAGTTTTTCGATTTAAATAAACATACATATGTTATAAAGGATAATAATAATAAAAAAAAAATAATTCACCGATTTGTTTGATCAATAAGAAGAATACTTTATTCCGACTGGTTACTTAAATAAGAGTCATAGAGAAAAAAAATTTGTGTCTGATCTATTTACGCTTATTAATTTAATTCATTTATCCTAATGACATATAAATATCTTACCTTCATCATTTTCATCATTAGTTATTGGTGCACAATCAAGAATAATTTTTTTTCTTGTTAATGCTGGACAATTATTTCCATGAGGATGTGATGGATGTGATCGAAAACGATGAGATGGTTGAGGTAATGGATGAATTGAATCTGTTTGTGATGTACTTGTTAATAAACGATTGAGAAATGCTATATAATCAATAGCTAAACGTAATGTATCAACTTTTGATAAACGTTTTTCATAGGGATGTACAGGTATATGTGTACGTAAACCTTCGAAAGCATCATTGATTGATTGCATACGTTTTCTTTCACGTAAATTAGCTGCATGACGTTGGCCACTAGTTTGAAGAGGATCTGTATCATTCATATCATCCATATCAAATGAATCAAAACCATCATAGGAATGAATTGATTTACCAGATCGTTTTATATTTGATCGTTTTTTAATTGGAATAGATTTTCGACCATTTGTAATTGTATTTCGTTTTGAGATTGTCGATCGATTCGAATATTTTTTTGATATTGTTGATGATCGACGATATTCATCAGAATAATCTACCATCATTTCATCTTCATCAAATTCATCACTTTCATGATCAGAAAATACTTTTGAAGCTGTTGGCATTTGACCAGTTTGATTTAATAATAATCGCATTGAAAGTATATTTATGTTTGATAAAAAAAATCGTTTAAATAATCTAATCTTTTTTCTTCTATTCTTCTTCTTCTTCTTCGTGTTCTCTCTTCTTTTACAAGCAATAACAATAATATCAATGCAAATATACGAAGGCGAGAAAAAACGAATAACGGGATAGGATAGACAAGAAAATAGTGACCAATGAAAAACATGAGAAGCAAAATATCGATGTATACCTTAAAGAGAAAAGAGAAGAAGAAGAAGAAGAAAAAAAAATCAGTACTTACTCAATACAATCTTTAAATCAATCACTTCCTCATTTATATAAATTATTCTTTTAAAAATGAGAAATATTTCTGTAATACTTGACTATATATAAAATCATCTAGCAGATTTTTCTAATTCACATAAACATTTTGATATTTTTTTTTTCTTGAAAAAATCCGGTCGTATTCCCATCGATTAATTAATCAATATTATGAATCATTTGCTTCGTTTATATACAAAAATATAAAAGATTTCATCATCATCATTCATTATATGGATGTTTTTACCTGAGATTATGATTAGCGATGCTTGATTGCTTTTTTCAATGATGATGATATGTATGTATATATGATTGAAATTAAACGACACTCAATGTTCAACATAGAACGTGTGTGTATGAGTCTCCTTTAGGGCACTAAAATTGCTAACGAAAGAAAAAGATCAACGACCGTAAGCAACTTCGAACTGATCATATAGTTGTTAATCTCTTGACGAACAATACATGAATTACGTATTTTTATTGTATTGAATTGAATGCGAAGGGGGACGAAAAGTATAATGAATGTGTGTCATATCAAATTTGATTTTTTACTTTTCTCTTCTTCGTTCAAGTGTTTGACTATATAATGCAGGTGGGTGGAACACGGGAACGGTTAATTAAAAACAAAATTTCTTTTCTTCAAGCTCAATAATACAAAAAGGAAACGACAGCTGGTTATATCAACTAATCATGTGTTTACTAAACGGTATTGTTATTACAACGGGGTACATGACCATACTTCGTTAACACATAATTTACTCAAACAATACATGCATACATATATATATATTCGTCTTTCGTTTCTTTACAAACAATATTATTTGTCAGAAGAGAAGAAAAAAAAGTTTTGTAAATTAATATTCTTATATATTGAATAGCTCAATACTATGCGATTTAATAGAAAATAGGTTAAATCTAAATATTGATAGAAACAAAAAGTTAATCAACAAACACTTTTTTGATTGGCCTGTAAGACATATTATATACAAAATATACAACAAGAAGAAAAAAATTATCAAGACTATTTTATTGATTATTCATCTTCGAATTAATCATTTTTTTGCTATTATTATTATTATTAAAAAATCCGATATATTTATTTTATGATTGATAAATAAAATTATTTAGTGAGTCACAGGTGTTCACAATGAATATGTATACTATTATATATTAGATAGAAGGATAAACAATTTAAATCTAAGGTTACATACAAATAAGACTACATATTTTTACATAGTCTGTTCTTATAAGGAGCAATATTTTTGAATAACAACAAATTCAATTCATTGTAAAATGTTGCTCTTTGCGAAAAAGGTATTCGAGCTAGCAACAGAGACTGTGATAATATTTACCAGTTTTTATTGATTCTGTTGGTTGAAATAACTTATGAGACATGGTGAACAAAATGCACCATGAATATATCTTGATGTTATTTCATATGTTACATGCACTGTAGATAAACCATGCGTGAATGTGATGTATTTACGATGACGATACAGTGTATGAAAAAGTGTCTACTCGAAATTATGAAGAACAGGATGAATAGAAAATTACCTTGATACAAAAAGTAAAAACAATTATTATTATTTTGACTAAAAACACAACAACCAGACATCACTGCATATACAACAGTAGATAAAATTAACATCGTTTCGAAATAAAATTGTCGATATATATTACATTTTATTTATTTCGTCGTGGTAAGTTACTTATTTGAATTACGCTTAAAGTAGAAACAGCTATATTAAGGTCTTACGCCTCTTCATCAAAAAAGCCAATTTTCATCAAAAAAAAAATGATTTTTGGGATAAACGTAGAATCGTATTTTCTAAGATGTCTACTTAAGAAATATATAAAAACATAATTGAATCTTCAAGGTCTTTAAGGGGTATTTTTTAGAAAATTCTGAAGCTGTGCAAAGCAAGTACTATTAAAAGTACATTATAAAACCATTAGAACGTACTAATAGTAAGAGTCAATAAGTGACGCCATCTATCTGAGCAGTACTATTAGGCACATAATACTTGCGTTTTGATTTTGATTTAGAAGTGCCGATATGAACGGACGTGCATGTTGAGAAAAATGTGTTTTAACAAAAACAGCGCATAGATTCTGTGTATGATTTGACTTTGACGTCATATAGTAATGTTTTAATAGCATGGATGTTATAGGTAGAAGAAGTAATGGACGTATAAGAGTTTTGAGGATATCATTAACTATCATCAGATATTAACCTTTGGTGTGCTGACGTTAAACATTGATTTTTTATGTTTTTCTTTTTGTATTATAGATTTTGGACCTGGCTACATCAATTTCAAGTATACCAGCTACAATAGGAATTCAATTAATCTGATTAAAAAAAACGGCTTCTCATATAGTTGTATTGATTTGTTTAGTAGACAAATGTCTTTTCAACGAACATTGCACGATATATTCTTGGAATGTATAGGATATCTCGCTGCTACTTTAGCTTTATTTGGTATTAGAGCATCCAATAATGAGTTTAATGGTCGAGCAATCCACCGACATCGTTACACCGATCTTCTTCAGGATGATATGATCATTACTCGATTTTACAAATATGAGACTCTTATTAAACATAATTTCGTCGTTTTTCAAACCGGGTCAGGACACATATTTAAGGTTCATTTAATTGCTAATGTTGAACCGAAACATTATTCACCGATGTACGTAAAAATCGTACCATCTTATTGGAGACCAGGTCGTAGACGTATACGATCCAGTAACAAAACAGCGGGAAATCTAAAACGCTTCGTAAACGCTGAAATACGCAGATTTGGAAATTATGAAGTGGGTTTCAATGATTGTCGACACTTTGCTAATGCAGTAGCAGCATTTTTGGCTAGCTGATCGTATCACAACCTATTACAAACGTTTATCGTAGAGATACTACATTTTTCATTTTAAATATATCAACAAACAAAGGAAGAGTCTAAGAATATAAGTCAGCTCAAAAGAGCATTGTTCATAGGACAATTATTATCTTATATAAGATGAAAAAGTACGTTGAGATTAGATTAGCATGAATAAATACTGACTTTGAACAATTCTATACTGTTAAAATAAAATCTAAAATTTGTTATTTAATTTATATATTTTGAAATTTATAACTTAAACTCTTTTTTTCCTACACATTTCGTTTTTGACTCAATCTGCTTATTAAATTTTCTCTCGTTAAAGTTAATGTACCACCAATAATTCGTACAGCATCATCACGACGATGTAAAACGACAAGAATTTTCCATGGAAAAGGACATGCTCGAATATCAATTGGTAAATGAGCTAATCTTCTCGATCGATGATGTTTAAGAAAAATTTGTTTTCTTTCACAATCAACTGTTAATGTTAATTCATCATACGATCGAATAATTTTATCTTTTGGAATTCGATGATCTTTTTCACCATTTCTAATAGGAAGATCAAGATTCCACCAACCATTCGTAGATATTGATTCTAAAACTTTTTCCATATTCGTTTGTGATGCAGTAATAATACCAAAAAATGGTGGATCATAAAATTTTTCTAAGAGACGAAAACGAATATGATGTGTTCCTGATGAATAAAGATTAATACCACATATACCAGAATGACCTAACCATGGTCCTGAATATGTTGCTAAAAGACCATCTTCTGATACTGTAGCTATTCCATTAACATCATCAAATCTTTCACGAACAAGAAGTGTTGGTTCTTGAAAACTAATCATACTTTGTTCAAATGTAAATTGTGAATTATTAGTAGTCGAACCAAATTCTTTTGATTCTTCATGATTTTCTTTTAATTTAATTAGACGAATATTTTCTGTATCTCCTTCATCGTCTATCATATCGAGAATAGGTAATTTTTCCATTTTATTTCGATATTCTTCTAATTGTTGAATCCATCTTTTAAGATCAGTTTCAGTATAATCATCAGCTTGTTGACATGATCGAACTTCATTTGTTATTCTTTCAAATGGAATTTTAACTTCAATATTATTTCGATCAGTCCATTTTTGTAAATCCGTTCGAGCAGTTTCGGCAGCAAGATTAATTCTTGCAATTGATTCTTGTTCCCATGTATCAATAATAGAAACAAGAAGTTGTACTTCACTATCACGAATCATATTACGTCCTAATAATTCATGTTCTTCAGCAAGTTTATCGACTTCTTTTGAAAGTTTTTTACGATGTTCATCAACATGTTTAGCACAAAATGTTTGTCGACATCCACGACACATAAATACATCACCACCTTTTCGACATGTAGCACAAATTCTTGATATATTATTAACTGACGTCATGCTTATTTCTATAATAAAAAGAAATCAAATCTTTCTTTTCAATCATTTCATATATATATATACAATTGGAATTTTTATTTGTAATAAATATAGTATGCATACATTTTATTATCGAAATTAATGAAGAATAAGAAATGCTAATAAAAATAAATAAATCATACGTGACTTTTTTTTCTTTTTTTAGTTTTATAGAACAGAGAATGAAACAATAATGAAGAATAAATATATTATTCGAAGACAAATGATGAAATGTGTAGAATACCTCATATAAACAAAAAAACATAATTAAAAAATAAAGTTATATGAAATATGATTATTCATTTAACTAACAGATACATCGAAGAATTTAATTTTAAATATATTTTTTATTGAATCAAACGAATCTATAAGAACATTTTTCAATGACCAGCGCTGCCACGAATCCTTTTTAATAGGAATGTTTGCTTTTATTTTTATCACAAGAAATATATTACAAAGATGAACACTTAGCAATATTCTAAAGTTTTCAATAAAAAATCAGTAGTTACAAGTAATTTTTACACGTTTAGACAGTCAATTCTTCACTATAATTCAGGTCTAAATATTTAACCAAGAATCAAACGTTGGTAGGAGAGATATAATTATCACTAAGAAAATTCTTATCATGTACAACATGTTTTCAAAGATAAATAATTTCATATGAAATATTAATGAACCATCTCTACTAATGGTTATAAATATATGTTACCTATAGTGATGAAAACAGAATGTTATTGCACAACATCAATAAAATGCAAAACAAAAATATGATTAATAAGATGAGAAAACGTTCGAGCCGTGCTCTCGGGTTTTGATACAATGTTCACATACCTTATGAGCCTGAAGCATATGGACGCGAAATTTCGGTTTCGCAAGCCTGGGAGTAAATCGATACTCGAATATCTTTTTTTCTCTAAATTTGAACATCTGTTGATAGTACTTGTAGATTTATTTTCATAATCAAGAACTTCAATATACATTCGTGTATATGTTTTCGAAATAAATGATATTTTGAATGTCTATGTTTTTCACTAACTACGATAGTTATTTTGCGTTTCATAATTTTATTCCATAAGAGTTCTACTTCGGTCATTTTCTATGTTCACCTTAAAACTGTCTTTCACGGACAAATTCCAATATTAAAATATATTCAAGTCATAATATGCATGTCAGATATGAAAACATGTTTGCTATCAATCATCGTTTATTACTAAACAATCGTAAAGATCATACAGTCACGTATATTTTCTTGATTTATTAAAATAAAAAATAAGTTATATGAACACGATCAATCACATTTTTTCTGTAAGTCAGCATTCATGATAATAGTCATTCCATTTAAATTCAGAGTCGATCATGTTGTTTTCTATATTTCTACAATAGCCTTCAATTCACTCAGGTGAGTATATTACTAAAATTCAATGCAATAAAAGTATGATAAACGAAACTTAATTAATTAACACATATATCAAGGATTTTTGTACTAGAGCCACAAGATTTCAACATATGAAATAAATATCGTATCAACTATAATAAAATTCTTTTGATAGCCAGGAAACAACACTTCATTTTCTATAGCTTATTTTTTGGTCAGATAGGTATAGAATACGAGGGTGTGGGAGGGGGGAGTGGATTGAAAATAAAGATAATCACACCCACACTCTCTAGATGGTCGAGCTTCTATAATCCATTAATCTCGTAGTTAACAGAACTCTTATGTAATAAGAGAAACTTTTTCTTTTGACCGACAATTCTATGTAACTGATTTCGAAAGAAGTGCTTTTGTTATACGTAACTTTCAGTATTACATGATACTTTTACGTAGTTAATTTCACAAATTTTCATAATTATTCATCTATTGTGTTACTCAATCGTCGATGGTATTTTTAGAGTAAACTATTCATACTACTTTTGAAAATACAAAAAACAAATACTATACTTATCAAAAGATTCATTGGTCAAATTGATCCATTCTCGAAATGATGAATCCCAAAACTCTGTTTCAATGGTTTCTTCAGAAAGCATCCAATTATAATCTCTTTGTGCTCGGAGAAGATGACTATGACGATGACGATGTTGATGAACCAAAGGAACCGGCAATTGTGCTTAAATATCAAAAATATAAAACGCGATTATACGTCCTTCTTCTTATGGGTACGTAGCAAATACGTTTTCGTTTTTCAATTTAGGAACATTAGTTTTTGAGCAGATGACTGGATTTCATGTATGTAGAGAGCTCTTATGACTACTTTTTCTACTACGATATCATTACAATTGTTCAAAACATAATAATGTAACAAGTATCTGATATTAGAAGAATAAATATATGAAAAGAATGATTAGAATAGCAGAAATCACAAATTTAGTCTAGTAATATCTAAGCTGATACAGATACTGTTGAGATATAATTAGATATCAATTGGAATCTATCCTTTGGCTTAACATCGAACAGAATGTATTGGATAATAATTCATTGCTGACTTTTGATCGGTTCAAACGGTTCGACAGAGCCTTTTTTCGTTACAAAGATGAATTTGCAAAAATTCTCTATAAAATAAAACCTCTTTTTGTTTAGCAGCTTATTTCTAAGATCGATAGATCTTAATTTTTCTTCAAAGTCTCTCTCTCTTTCTTTTTTTTTGTTTTAGTATCCTTCTATATTCTTTTCTATACTACTTTAATGAAGACAGAATCTTCAACAATTACTGTCTCTGATATTACACCTGACAAATTCGATGAACTTTTCTCGAAACATAAGAAAACTCTTTCATGTCCATGTTCAACAATCAGCATGCCTCATAAAGTTTTTGTTTTCAATATAATTAAACGTCATCCTGTTTGTAAGAGTATTTTCGTTAATCAGTCATGGATTGAAGCATTATATTTATTAAACGCAAATCGATATGGAATATGGGATTTTCGAACAACAGCTAGTTCTCAGGTGAGTGATTATTACTTTCTCAAAAAACATTGCTTTAGATTAAAACTACATTTAATTGGAGTGTTATTTTTCGATGAATTCGAGAACAACTCTTCATAAGAGATGTTGTCATTCTTGTTTTGAGATTAAATTATATTCTATGAGGAGCAATAATGATGAAAAGTTAAAAAATGTGTTTGAAGAAATTCTGTTTTGAACAAAAGTTCATAATGATCTCACTCGATCATAACTTTTTATTTCATTTAGTTGTATATCTGCATATTAATGACTGAGATATCTTTTTCTTTTTTTCTTTTTCATAATGTCACAGATCACACTTACATATGCATTGTGGATGATAGATTTTCGTGTTCAAAAGGATCGGAATGCATCAAAAGAATCTTGTGTGATTGTGAAAGATTTTAGAATTATTAGAGATGATATAAAGTAGAATTTGTATTAAAATCTCACAAAATGTGTCAGATATAGAAATAATATTTTGTCATTGCTAGAGAGAACTGCCATTTTGTAATTACTGAGACGACAGTATATATACTCTTCTATATGTTAACTGATTGATTTTGTTTCTATTTAGTTTGCACTTTTGTCTAATTTTTGTTCAATCGCTGAAGATGCCGTTTTTCATATTGAAAATGATGTTGGAAACAACGATTTTATTACCACTTATCTTCTTACCGACACACAAATTCAATTCGAAGTGAATAGTACGACGGAATCTTTCAAAAACAGTGCATCTGCTCGAATAACTATGTTCTTGAACTATTTAAGAACAACTATACGAGAAAACTATTTAGTGTCAGCTCTTAATACAAACTTAATAATGAAAATATGCCCCGATTGTTTTGATGTGGTTCGTCCACTTGCATTCCCAGTAATGTATAATTCTACAAATGGAGGCTTTGTGTCCTGTAATCAAGGTAATCCAACTAGTGTAGCTACTCTCAATCCACTGTTGAATGATTCCGTGACTTTGGAACGTATACGGAAGTTTGAATCTATGCCAAATTCTACAATTGTCAGTGGATTCTTTGCAGCATGTACTCCTCTCGAAGCTCTTCTTCAGAGTACACTCGATTGTTTATATGAAATCGAGTGTCTGCACTTATTATTCGGTTATTTTCCAGCGCTTAACCATGTATGTATAACACTCTTTTAACTTTCATACATATTCATATTGCTTAGATGGGCGTTAACTGGACCGACTCTGTTCTGACTTCGAAACAACAAAATCTTTCTGTAAACGACTATTTCAATAATCTTTTTATTGAGGAGTGGTTGACAAAAATAAATTATACACAATATTTTAATGAATGTCATCCTTCAGTCTGTACATTCACGGCAACAGATCGAGCTGATATCTCTTATGCAATTACTCTTTTCGTTAGTCTCTATGGTGGTCTCGTGATAATACTTCGTTTAATTGCATCATTTTTAGTAAATGTCTCATTAAAATTCAAACATCGTTCAAGAAACGCAAGTGTGCATTTCGGTAATTTTTTTCTGATATACTAAAACGTTTTATCGTAAATATAATTTATATTCAATTTATAGTGTGCCACAACATATGTCTACGTAAATTTTCTCGATTGATGAAACGATTAAACTTGTTTAAGAACGTCAATGAGCGAACAGAAAACAATATTAAACAACAAAAGATTATCACACGTGTTTATTTGATTTTACTAACTGGTATAGTTACTTTTACTATGTACATGAGAACTTAGATACTAAATTATTTAATAGTCAAACGTAGATTGCCAGATAATAAAATAATAAAAGATGTAAATGAAACATCGCTGTTATTCAATATTTGAACATTCAAACTGTCAATATTGATTAATATTATATCTAATTTTCTGATTAAGATTTCAAAAATTAAATATAACTATCATATTTAGCACTATTGAATCTTAGATAAGATATTATATAAAAGAGTGTTAATATCTTAATTGAGAAATATGCTGATGAACTCCTAAAATCTCTAATTTTTTCTGTTTATCACTTAATAGTCTAACTTCTCATCGATCCATATCTTGTTATCATTGATAAATTGCAGATTACTTCAAATTGAAAAAAAAAATAAGTTCGCTGTCGACATACTAAGATTGTTGCGTGTTATTTGCAATCGGTCTATCAATGATATGTCTACAATAACATGTTTGTTTTTTGTTTTTTCTCATTAGGTTCAATTATTGTTCTTCTTCTCTTCAATTCATTGAGTACTCATACAGATACAGTGACTATTCCAAATCCGTCATTGATTATGTATAAAGATTTACAGACGTTGTACTCAGCTACACTCAATTGTCCTTGTTTAACCAAGGCTATCTCTTATCGTTCATTCGTTTCATTATCTCCAACATTACATCAAGTGTGTTCAAGTGGTTTTGTTAATGATGACTGGTTTGCATTATTAAAAAGAAGCGCCATTACAGATCATCCTAATGATTGGCGTAATCGCGCTCCGCCACAATTTCAATTGTTGTCTGATTTTTGTCGGCTGGCTAATAAAACGATTGATGATAGTGTTAATCGCTTTCTGAAGCAGTTCTTTATTGCTTCAACTGTATTTAATGAAATCGATCTCGATACACAATTAAATGCAACTCTCAGACAATTTTATAATTCAACGATTTTCGACTTTAGTCTTCAGAACGATGTTGTACGTCTTTTGATGCAAGTCGACCAGCCTTATATGGGACCATTAGATACTGTCAGTGATTATTGGCTTAGCAACCTAATCATAACTAACATAGAAAATGAAAGGAACAATCAATCCTTATCACAGGTATGTTAATTTTTAGAATAATAAAATATTGTCTTTCTCCTTAAAAATAGTAGTATGTTAGCAAACTTCTATTGTCTCCACAAAGAAACTAGAAAATACAGTTATGAAAGCCTCCTTTCTTTGCTGCTACTAACAGAAACAATCAGAACTGTTTATAATTAAAAAGTACTAGTGTCACAAGAAAAATCTGATTGATAATCCTATATGATATATTTATAAGATAACCGTTAAAATTGAGGAAAAAATGAGATAGTATTTATCTGATATTTTTTCGAGATAAATATTCGAAAAAAATGTCGTTATACTTTTTCTCGTTATATGCTAATTGGTTTTCCACATAAAATCGTCAATTAAGAGATGATGCTAGGTAAATGCAATCCACGATTATACTTCAAAAAAATTGAGCATAATTGTAAAAGCGATATTAAATGATGTTTTGAGCATGACCGTAGGTTTTAGTAAGTGACGATAACAGAGCTTTGAGTAAACTAAGTCAGGCTAATAAAAGTTGGTCTATGAATTATTAAACGATGGCTCGATTCGACCTAGTTCATAATAGCGTATCTGGAACAAATGCTAGAGTGAGTACAACTCCTTTCAAGCTACTTTTCGAGAATACATTGATTCATACCTAAGTATAACAGAATAATATGATATTAGAATATTAATAGATGATACATTTTATATAATTTCTATTGAACGTTTCAGAAGCTGTCTCATAGGAAAGATATTATAATGCATTTCTTTCTTATAGAATTTTTCAATTTTATGATAAAATCACAAGTTTTCAAGACCAACTGGTAGCAAAATATAAATCTTTGTTTTTATTTCTAGGTATCATTTATTTTACCTGGCATTCCAGAAATTAATTCGACAGTGCTCACCTGTGTTTGTGCAACTAATCCGCGTTGTCAAGGTTTAAACGTCATTTATACTAGTACATACATTCATGGCATCTATGACTTTTATGTAATACCATCTTCAATTAGAGGTTGTCTCAATATTGATTCTCTGCTACTCTCAACCTTACAATGTTTGTATGCAGATTCAGATTGTTTCCTAATTCTGCTGAGTTACTTAGACAAGCTTTATGATTTCAGTCAGTTGAGAATATCGTTATATGATATTAGTCCTTTAATCAATGATCCAACACAGAGTCGTTTTCCTCCAAATACTTTAGTTTTAACTATATTTGACGAAATGATGGTGGAACAATGGAATGTATCTTCGTCATACAAGGACTTTTACGAATCATGTGCACCGATTTATTGTACATATTCTGAAAAAATGCGTACAAAAACAATTGCGGAAATAATTTTAACATTGATGTCTGTGATTGGTGGACTTGTTGTCTCACTACGGCTTATCACACCGTATCTTGTCCGATTTTTCTTTTACTTATGGGCAAAGATCAGCAAAAGACAACAGAACCAACAACAAGACGAACAAGGTAGATATTGATCTGGTGTCTATAAAAAATATTACAGAGCAAATGTATTCATACAACAACGGTTTTCATCTAATGTAGTGTATATAAAATGAGAAGAAAGATAAGAAGAATTTATACGTGATCTTAGAGCATACTTTGTAAATAATAGTCAAAACTAGCAACTACAAACTTTTAAAGTGGAATTGGCAAATTTCAATAATATTTAAATCTATGTCACATCTATTCATTAATCTTCAGCTGTACCCATGATCTAAGAATTAACAATTCAAGATGTTCAAGAGTCATGCCATGCGAAGAAATCTAGTAATTCGAGGAAATTCAGAGATTTCATAACTTATGCCACTTAACGAAGCGTCCATATAGAGGAATATGAAATTCATCCAAATCAGACATATATAAAATTTGCTTAAATCAAAAGCAAACATAGTAGTAGGCGCAAGTATTAGTGTTTGTAGAGAGTTGAAGAAGAATTCAATTTATATGCTTGTCTCTAAAGATGACACTCATCTTCTAGCGAGATAGGTCATCTTTACCCATACTTGCATAACCTATTTCTCATCGACCCACAACCATTCTCAAAAATGTATAATTTGTTTTTGTGTGTATAGTTCATGGAAATTGGTTCGATCGATTCAAAATGGCTATGAGAAATATGAACAAACTTTTATATACCACTCTCATTAATCTAAACATATTTTCGTTGAATGATATTGGTAGTAATGTTGATCCGATAACGGCTAAACGTCTTGGTCGATGGGCAACTCGTCTATATATTGCTTTATTCATCGGTGGTCTTGGTATTCTTACTATATATAACCTAATTCAACCAGAAATGCTGACGAAAACGTTTGATAAACCGTCTTTCAGTGTTTACAAGAATCTGAAGCAGCTTCATGGCGACAAATTAAAATGTCCATGTTCAGTAATTGCATCAGCATATAGTCAATTTATAGAAATTGAGCCGATATTTCATGAGGTAAGATAACATAATAATATTCACAGTCTTGTTAACAGTATTGCCATTGATTATTTTCTGAGACCATCATGTACCGTTCGAAAAAAAATAGTTAGTATAAACTTTAAGTCGACATGTTGCGATTTTCTCGCTCTCTTCTCTTTTATAAATCTTATCAACCGGAATGAAAGCCTAATGATCATTGAGAATTGACTATTTTGTAACGACTAATGGCAACAAACACTAGACCACTTTTTCATAATTCTATAGCAAAAATAATAGTGTCGAATGACGTTAATAACAAAGGGTTATAGTGTTCTACAAGGATAAGTAAAAGTGAGTTCTCATCCATCCGCTCTTTTCCTAACACGAATGTTAAGCCGATATCCATGATTGAAACATCTAGAGAATAAAAAATCACTCAATTTAGACAATTAGCTAATAAACTAAAATCTAAATCTGAAAGCTTTTTTCAATACACAAAACGCAAAGCGCAAAGGAAAAAGATTTCGATAGTATATTGTACATTTATTACTAACAAAATGGTTATAATAAAGAAAAGAAAACTTTTCAGAAGTCAGCAGGTCGGATAAAACACTTATCATAATATATGATTGCGTTCTCGAGTATTTTCGAAAAGATTTCATCATTTATTGACAGAAATGAATAATGTCTACTGAAATAAAAGGCTGTCTACCTGGTCACAGTATCGTTGTGAAAACGTCAAATGCTAGTTCAGAATACCATCTTTTCTTTTTCTTATTCTTATTATTTGAAGATCTGCTCGAGTCCATTCGCATCGGAACAATGGCGAACTGATCTTACAGCTGGTCTTGTTTCTAATTTGTCTATTTATGCACGAAGAGACTATCGTCGTTTTCTTTCTGCTCATTTACAATTTCTCCAAGGATTGTGTCAACTTTCCAAAGATGCAGTATACAATTTGGTCAATCAAATTCGTACCTCATTACTTGTCACTTCTGAACTTCTTTCAGAAACAAATTTTAATCAAACACTTCAATCGTTGATTGAGCAGAGTAAATCAAATGCTCCTACAATATTCCGTCATCTTCTCTTCTTAATTCGAACTATCAATCATGGAAATGCTTTCATGTCAACATATGGAACAAATTTCGAATATATTGTACCCAAGAATACATCCAGTGAATATCATACACCTACTCGAGCTCTAATCTATGATGATGAATGTTCTTGTGGGTTATGTTCGAATTGCACAACTCAAGCAAATTTTATCACATTCAATTCTTCTGGAATAACTTCAATTCCAATTAAAGGTTTAAATGTAGGATGTACACCAAGTGAATCATTTCGTGCTTCGACTCTTGAATGTTTTTTTGATCGTTCATGTATTGATCTCATTCATCAATATACTAATTACAGCAATTCTCATGATCTTCTCTCTATAATGAATAGTAGTTTTTTAATTAACACTACAATGGCTAAACTTATTGACAGTCTATTCATTGAACGATGGTCAACAAAAACAAATTATACATCTTATTTTGAGCAATGTTTACCATCGCGTTGTTCCTATACTAGTGTTCAAAAGTTCAACTTAATCGGTATAATTACTCTTTTACTTAGTCTTCAAGGTGGTCTCACAATCATTCTTAAATGGAGTTGTCCTAAAATAGTTCGGGTTGCATCTAAAATAAATGATTATCGAAAAAAGCGAAGGAATACTGTTCGTCCTGTGTGTGTTCTTGAAAAAACATCCAGTGATATTTCCGACATAACCACTGACAATGTTACTACCAATATAGAGACAGATTCAACACCTAAAACGTCTCCGTATGTCTTTTTTATTTTTATATGATTTGTAATCTAAAATATCTCTTTATTAGGACAATTATCGTTAAATCACTTCGATGTACTTCTAAGGTCGTTTTCAGATGTGTACTATTGACTTGTGTAATAGCAGCTTTGGCTATTTTTTCATTTTATATGGTGCGACAAGGTAAGATTAGCATTATCCAAGCAAGTATACATGTTTTAATAACAGATCACATCATATTTATTCCAAAACTTCAAATGAATTGAATACAGAAAGACAAAGTTGATCTAGATAGTTTTTCGATGCAAGGAAAGAGAATGTAGAGTATTTTTCAATTTCATTGTATCAAAGGAATATGAAGCATTCTTTTGAATAATCTTGATATTTAAGCCGAATCAAATATTTAACAGAATATTTATTAAATATGTTTTCACTAGCTTCCTCGATCAACACGACAAATGATACTAATTTGAATCCAACAACAAATACAACAATGTCAACATTTTCAAGCACAGCAAGTCAGTAATTTAAATCAAAAAATTAATATGCACTAGTTCTCACACTATAACTTTTAAGATAAATTCTTCTAGTTAGATGTATTCGTTACTTAGTAATATAACAATACAATCTCGTCCTTATTTCAATGATTAGAATTATTTTAAAAACACTGCAGAATCATAGAATCATCTGTAGAGATAGAGTATCTCGAATATCAATATTTTAACTGCTTTTGTTAAGATCAAAAAAAAATAGTACTATGTAACATTTTCGCTATGCGTTCGTATCTTGATCATTATATGGCGACTCATTTCATCGGGCTGCTTTTCTAAAACTTGTAGAAAACATCATTTATTCAGCAAAACATACTATATAAATTGGAAATTTGATTCATTTTCTACGAATTTTAGAAAAATGGCCTGATGAAGTGAGGCGCCTTTGGATAAGGTGCGATCTTATAGCAAAGATGTTTAATAGTGCCATGTTTTAGATCTTAACAAAAGTAGCTAAAAAATTGATATATGAGATTCTACACATGTCGCGACACAACAGAATGCTTTTAAGCTCTATTTGAAGGGATGAGGACACTTAAATATATTCTTTCGTAAGTATATAGGGTCTGATATAGTTTTAGGTTGCACAAATCTCTTCTCATATACTTTTAGTTCGAGAATATCGAAGAGTAATTCCTTATTTTTCTTTTATTAGCACCACTTTGCAAATTAAACTTTCGATCGATATCGATGAACACATCTAATTATGACATTATACCACATGCATTTGTTTCTGCTGATTTTAACAACGATAATCGACTTGATCTTGTGTTTTATTCTGAATTATATACGACTCTGTATCTGCTGTTTGGAAATGGTGATGGAAGCTTTGGAGCAGAGAATATTATTCCAATGAAAAGTTTTAATTTCTTGACTCATATTGATGTTGGTGACTTCAATAACGATAATCGATTTGATCTCGTTTTAGCCGGTATAACCCAGCTTGGTATTCTGCTTGGAAATGGCAACGGAGATTTCGGAGCTCTGAATACACTATCGCTGGAACCGGAATGTACGCTAATTGACATCACTGTGGCTGACTTCAATCATGACAATCACTCAGATATCGCTATCGTTAGTTGGAGCAATAATAATATTTGTGTGTTTCTAAAAAGTAACGACAATTTTTCATCCCCATTTATTTTTTCTACTGGACATAATAGCCAGCCTCGATCATTAAATGTCGGTGACTTTAACAATGATGGTCACTTAGATATTGCTGTAACCAATAATAATGCTGTGAATATTGGTGTATTTATTGGGTGTGGTAATGGGACCTTCGAGATACAGAAGTGGTCTTTTACGAGCATGAGTTCTAATCCGAATAATATAGCAGTTGGTGATTTTGATGGCGACACTTATCCAGATATTGTTACTTCTAATATTGACGACAACCTTATTTGTGTACTGTCTAAATATAATAATGGAGTTTTTGGTGGCAAACAGAAGTTTTTTATAAAATCTGTTTGGAGCACACCTTCAGTTGCTGTAGGTGACTTTAATTGTGATGGCTATTTAGACATCGCTGTTGGAACGACTAATCCATATGGCATAGATGCGCTTCTCGGATATGGAGATGGTCATTTTGATACGCAAACAATATTTCCGACTCAGCTGATTGATAAAAATATTATGATCGCTGTTCATGACTTTAATGGTGATACTTATCAAGATATAATCGCTATAGATGGTATCCTTAATACTATAGATATTCTTTTAAACATATGTGAATGTTGTACGCGTGAAATTCTCAAAAAAAGTAACTCCAGTCTCCCATAATTCTAACAATTTTGATACTTATAAGTCTCTAACATAGCATTAATCAATCAGTAAAACTTTTGTTTCTAAGAAAAGTATCACACGTAGCTTTATCTCCCCTCAAATCATTGTAACTAATAACATCTTTTTGTTTTTATTTTCACAAAACATTAAAGAGAAACGACATCATGATACGCCGACATATACTTTGTGAAGTTCTCTTGTATACTTTTATTTTTATGTTTTTCATCTGTTGCTTACTACTTTACTATACTTTACTTTTCATTCTATTGCTTATTTGTAAATTTCTCAAGCTATAATATAATCATGAATTCTTCTTTCTAAGTCTGCAAGTCAAAATGTCTATGAAAATTTGTTACAACTATCAGTTATTCAAATAGTTTCTAATAAATGAGAAAAAAAAACGAGTAGGTATTTCTTAATGCAATTCGTAGGATGTACATAGATTTTTCTTTCATTATCGATAAAAACAATACTGAACATGTGTAGAAATTGAGACATCATAGTTTTGACTTGAGTCAAGATTAGAATTACGAAATATTCATAAATGATTTCAAAATGCTTGTTAACACAACTGCGATAGATTTAGAATGCAGAATTAATGTACTGCAATCGGTAATAACATGTGAATAACTCTGTAAGATTAATCGGTTTGTATTTCTTCATTTTCGATGTGAATACATTTCTATTATCATTTCACTATTGATCTGTCTTTCTTTATATTTCTGTTAAGTGTTCGTTTGTGATCTGTCATTTTTCTTCTATATTTATTGAATCAATAATTTGACCACAGATTCTATGTCTGAATGGATTCTAATTTGTATTCGAATAAAGCTTCACACACTGACAGCGAGCGTGAGTGGATCTATAGATTTTACGGGATGAATGCAGATGTAAATTATATATTAATTTTGCAATCACTGCACTTTTATCCTTATCTTGCGTACCGCATACCTACCCCCTCAAGATTTGACTACGCATTTTTGACCTATAGATCTTCATGGATTTGTAGTCAGAAACTTTTTCTCGAAAAAACTAATTGATTGTCTAATATGTTCAACGACTCAGGTTTTTGCTCATGAAATCAAGAGCATCAATCGACTGAAAATAGCTATATTGGTTTCAAATCTGAATTCAATCACAACCAGAACATTTTCTTGCAAAAATAAATCATAAAATGCCGATCAAACTGTTTATATAATTCTAAATGTCATTCTCATGCAGCGTCTCAAAAAAATCTTCGATTTCATTCTTCGCGTTGTATACTTGTCTGATATTTTACGATAGATGACGGCTGCGGGTGTAGATAAATAGAAGGTGAATTCACATCTACATCCACACCGTCAGCAAAAGAGTAGATAAAACTTGATCTTCTGATAGCATTTATCTACTGTGCGTTTCTTCCACTGTATACTTATGTTTCACTCCATTTTCAGTCACACTTATGATAAATATTGTAGAAAATGATGTACAACACAGTTCTATTTGCATAGTTGGCAGAGGAACGATTACAGTGTCCTCTTTTCATTCGTTTATTTTTAATTTACTTTTTTGCAATAACACCTTTTTGACGTTTTTATACAGCATTATTTAGTATTTCACATCTTGTTTTCAAATAGAAACAAAAAAAACAAAATTTAAAAGAACAAGAAATAGCAACTAGTTTAAACAGTTTTCTGTGTTTCATATATTTGACCATCGAAATAAAAGAATATAATTATTCTGTGTTTGAACTGCAATATGTTGTCGATTTTTACAAATTATAACGCTCAACAACATCAAACATGAGAGCAGAAAGAAAAAAAACTTCTTAGACATTCTTTTTTGCTTCATCTATATACGTAGTAAAATTTTCTTTCGCCGTTTAGTTTAGTGACTGACAAGCATAAAAATACTTAACCATTTCTTTTTCGTTCTCTGCTTATTACTCAGGAATGTCTATGTTGATTTTCGTTTATTTTTCATAACAACATCTACAATTGTTAATGCAAATGGCGTTGTTGCCTAATTCAAAAAATAGAAAAAATCTAGATAAGAAGTAAAGACGTTATAAAATGAGCCATTTTCATAATTCTTTCATTTACAAATTTTAGCCAAGCAAGTTAAATACAAAACATTCGCATTGAAAGTTATGGGAAATAAGAACTCAACAGCTACTACCGCATTTAGTAATGCAAAACAAAATGAGCTTATATCTCGCCTCTCCACGAGTACAATTGTGAATCGACGTATGAACATGCAAAGGACGCAAAATGTCGTTTCAATTTGGTTAGACAACAATATTGATGATAATAATGCCGATCGCAGTAATACAATCAAGCAATTGAAACGTGTTGTTAACAACATAAACACATTTACAGACGGTAAACAGTGTGTTGAATTTATTCAAACCATTACCAATAACAAGATATGTATGATTGTCTCCGGGTCACTTGGGAAACATATTATGCCTCGTGTGCATGATATGTCCCAAGTAGACACCATTTTTATTTTTTGTAGCAACCGAATATGGCATAAACTATGGGTTAAAAAATGGCCTAAAATAAAAGGAGTTTTCTCAGATATAACATTAATCTGTGGAGCTCTTAAACAAGCTACTCATCAATGTGAGCAAAATGCCATCTCCATCAGCTTTGTGACACCAAACAAAAAGTTCGATCAATTAGATCCATCATTTATGTATACTCAGATCTTGAAAGAGATCTTATTAACCATTGACTTCGAACATGAATATATTAAAGAATTTATTACTTATTGTCGTGAAACATTTGCCGGAAATGAGCATACATTACAAAATATTGAAAAATTGGAGCGTGATTATCATAATCAAAGACCGATTTGGTGGTATACTTATCAATACTTTTTATATTCGATGCTCAATCAAGCATTAAGATTAATGGATGTTGATATTATTCTCCGAATGGGTTTCTTTATTAATGATCTACATCGTGATATTCAACGACTCCATTCAGAACAATTTGATAGTGAACAATCTGATAAAACATTTACAGTTTATCGTGGACAATGTCTTTCAAAAGACGATTTCACTGAAATGACAAAAACTAAAGGTGGACTTCTTTCATTTAATAACTTTTTATCAACTAGTAGACATCGTGATGTTTCGCTTTGTTTCGCACCACAAGCTGCTACAAATCCTAATCTTGTTGGAATTCTATTTGTTATGTCAATCAATCGGACTGATTCAACAACTCCATTTGCTTCTGTTAGTGATGTTAGTTATTTTCATATGGAAGATGAAGTTCTCTTTTCTATGCACACCATTTTTCGCATTGAAGATATTAAACCAATGGATGAAAATAAAGATCTCTATCAAGTGAATTTAACATTAACCAATGATAACGACCAAGATCTTCGTACTCTTACTGATCATATACGACAAGAGATCTTTCCAGATTCGAAAGAATGGTACGGATTAGGTCAATTGCTAATTAAAATGGGTCAGTTTAAGAAGGCTCAAGAAGTCTATGAGGATCTACTTCATCAAGCAACGAATGAAAATAACAAGGCAGATATTTATCATCAACTAGGTTGGATCAAATATAATCAAGGAGAATATCCAGAAGCACTTACATCTCTCGAAAAAGCTCTTACAATTCGACAACAATCACTTCCATCCAATCATCCTGATTTGGCTAATTGCTATAACAGAATCGGTATTGTATATGACAACATGAGTGATTATGCAAAAGCACTTTCTTATCATGAGAAAGCCCTTGCAGTTCGAGAACAATCATTTCCTTTCAATCATCCTCATTTGGGTAGTTCTTATAATAACATTGGTGTGGTGTATTATAACATGGGTGATTATCCAAAAGCACTTGCTTATTATGAGAAAGCCCTTACAATTCGACAGCAATCACTTCCTTCCAACCATCCTGATTTGGGTAGTTCCTATAACAACATCGGTGTGGTGTATTATAACATGAGTGATTATCCAAAAGCACT